CCTCCCCTCCCCTTGCTTTCCTTGTCCTCTTCCCTCCTCTCTTCTCCCTCTCCCCTCCCCTCTCTTCAATATCTTTATAGATTTTGGAAAAGACAGATCCTGTGCACTGTATATTTATTCCATTACTCTGTGTCCCAATAGGAAGCAATTAATTTAGGGGATTGCTGTCTTAAAGATTAACATCCCAGAAATAAAAATCTTTACATATAATTTTCAACCAATTTAAAATTCTCATTTTCCTTAGAAGATAGTTGAAGTACGTAATGTCTCAGAAAGACATTCCAGCTTTCATCCTAGGATGACTCTGATTTTACTGAGCTCTAGTGCAGACTACAGAATTACTTTGGAATCCTACTTAGAGTCCTGCATCTTGTGTCTGGATCGGATATTTAAAGCAATTGAGCTGGATCCCCTGGAAGATGAGCACGGAAACTTTCATTGACACAGTGGTGCTTGAACTTGAGTGGGAGAGTCACATGTAACCTAGACTCTATCCCCAGGAAACCCCCTGTCACACATACAGTTTTGCATACATTTGTGGGGAGCTGTCAGATCCTTTGAAATCTGTGGGTTCCATGTTAAAGTGTTGTTGACCAATTATAATATTATAGGTTGTTTTGGAAAGGACAGACTATATTTCCAAAAGGATCCAGTAAAATTTAAATCATGTGGACAATTTCCCCATAAAATCATTTTTTCAGTAGGATGCTTATTACGAATAAAAATCCCAACGTTTAATTTCAACACAAAGAATCAAGAAAAGCACATGTACAATGTCCTTTTACCTTGGTCTGAAGCGTATGTCCTCAATTACTGGAGCACACACACAAATTGGAGACTGCATTTGCTTTTCTTTTTTTGAGGGATTTCTAGAGAGTGAACGATACAATGTTGGGTCACCCTCCATGGAGACAGAGGACTATACTGACCAGCCAGGCAGTGGGTTTCACTCTGTTGATTGTTTCCTTTTCTGCACAGAAGTTTTAAAGTTTGATCTGAGTCCCATTTGTCTATTCTTGCTTTTGTTGCCTGTACCTTTGGTGTCATAACTAAAAAATCATTGCCAAATTTAATGTTTTGAAGATTTTCTTCTAGGAGTTTTATATTTTCAGGTCTTGGATTTAGATTTTTGATTCATTTTGAGTTAGTTTTTATAAATGGTGTGAGGTAAGGGTCTCACTACATTCTTTTGCAAGTGGCTATACAGCTTTCCAAGCACCATTTCTTGAAGGGACTATCCTTTGCCCATGTGTAGCGTTGGCACCCTTATAAACGATCATTTGACTGTATATGTGAGAATTTATTTCTGGGATCCCTATTTTATTCCATTGAGACTGTCTGTCTTTATTCCAGTACCATATTGTGTTGATTACTGTAGCTTTTTAATATATTTTGAAATCAGGAAATGTGAGGCCTCCAGCTTTATTTTTCTTTCTTTTTTAAAAAATTGCTATGGTTCTTTGTTGTTTTTTTTGAAATTGTGTATGAATTTTAGCATTTTTTTATTTCTACAAAATATGCCATTGGGATCCTGATAGGGATTGCACTGAATCTGTATGTTGGTTTGAATAGTATGGTCATTTAACCAATATTGCCTTCCAATACATGCACACAGGATATCTTTCCACTTATTTGTGTTTTCTTTTTTTAAAGCAATGTTTAGTAGTTTTCAGTGTACAAGTCTATTACCTTCTTGGTTAGGTTTATTCCCAAGTGTTTTTCTTTCTTTTAGTGCTATTGCAAATGAGATTTTTGCACCTTAATTTCCTTTTCAGATTCTTCACTGTTAGTGTATAAAAATGCAACCAACTTTTGTGTGCTGATTTTGTGTGCTGCAACTTTGCTAAATTTGTTGATTAGTTCTAATAACTATTATTTTTTGTGTGTAATCTTTAGTTTTCTACATATGAGATCATGTCATCTTCAAATAGAGACAATTCAACTTCATCTTTTCTATTTTGCATGCCATTTGTATTTCTTGCATAATTGCTCTGGTTAAGAACTCAAATACTATGTTAATAGATGTGGTGAGAGAGGGCATACTTGCTTTATTCCTGATCTTAGAAGGAAAGCTTTCATATTTTTTCACTATTGAGTATTATATTAGCAGTAGGCTTTTCATATAGGGCCTTTATTATGTTAGGGTAACTTCCTTCCATTCCTAGTTTAAGTGTTGTTTTTTTTTTTTATCATGAAAGGGTGTTGAATTTATAATGTGATATTTCTGTATTTTTTTGTCTTTCATTCTGTTAATATTGTGTATTACATTGATTAATTTTCATGTATTGAACCCTCTTTGCTTTCCAGGAATTCTTGGTCATGCATCACCCTTTTAATGTGTTGTTGAATTCAGTTTGCTAGTGCTCTGTTGAGAATTTTTGCATCTCTATTCATCAGGGATGTTGGTCTATAGCTTCCTTTTCTTGTAATATCTTTGATTGATGTTGGTGTTGGAGTAATGTTGGCCTCATAGGATGAGTTTGACAGTGTTTCCTGCTCTTCATTTTTTTTGGAAGTGTTTGAGAAGGATCATTATTAATTCTTCTTTAAATGTTTGGGAAATTCTCCAGTGAAGCCATTTGGTCCTAGGCTTTTCTTCGTTGAGAGATTTTTGATTACTGAAATAATCTCTTAACTCATTTTAAGTCTATTCAGATTTTCTGTTTCTTTGTGATTCAGTCTTGGTAGGTTGTGCGTTTCTGGACATTTACCCACTTCGCCTAGGTCATTCAATTTGTGATGTATCCTGTCCTCACTTCTCCCAGGCTTGTGGAGTCTCGTCAGTGTCCTCCCTTTGTCAATAGTGATGACATTTCAGAAGCTGTTCTACATGTCTCATTTGCTCTTGTTTCCCCTTAGCTCTCCCAGGAAGAGTCAAACCATTCCTAAGGCAGGGGGATATAAAAGCAATTTAGAAGGATTTGGACTGTTAGGATTAGATACTGGAAAAAGAATCACATTTAAAAATCTGACATATACTTGAAAACTGAGAGAGATGGTTTTGGTTTTTCATTCACATTGAAGCTGAACGCTTTTCATTCACAAGACCTTCTTTTTAATCTTCAAGCCCTAATAATGAAAGATCAATTATGGTGGTAACCCAATCTCTCTAGATTAAATGTATTTAAGTTTCTTCAACCAAATGGGCTTTTCCCACCTAACTGTCGTCTACTCTATACATTTTTCAATACCCCAAAGTACTTCCTAATGCTCAGAAAGAATAGCCAATGATATGAACTAGCCCCTGAAAGTTCATGATGATGATGGAATTGGTTCTGGCCTCTCACAGAGCCTCTTTGAAGAAATCTTGGTCAGCTACACATTCCATCTTTCCACTCGGTCCCAGGGAAGTGGTGAGCTTCTCCATCAAGGGACATGGATCCTCACTTGTAGTTAGTGGACTCCAAGGGGACAGACACCCATAAACTGCTGACATGGGTCCAATAGAGACCTGGGCAGGGAGAGATGCCCATAGCTAAGATTTTGTATAAATATTAATAGAGAATAAAGGGAAGATTCAAAGTGATCCCAGCTGCTGTGGTTGTGTTTGCATATGCCATGATCTGGGTGGAATCTGTTCCCTCCATTAACTGAAGCTGTGTGTGTGTGTGTGTGTGTGTGTGTGTGTGTGGGTGGGCGGGGGAACCACTAGATTCAAAGAGTCTCATTTACATATTCAGTCAAAACTATTTTTCTTAAGAGCGACAAGTCCTTAATTCACTGGGTAGTAATCTGAGAGTCAAACGCTGCTCATTCTCCTCCACCCTATTTTCTCTTTCAGGTTCACACGTGGTGCTTAGACAAACTCAAAATGAGGAAACACCGACATTTGCCCTTGGTGGCCATCTTTTGCCTTTTTCTCTCAGGCTTCTCATTAACTCGTGCGCAGCAACAAGCAGGTAAGATCCAGAACTGTCTCTTAAAGCCATTATAAAAGGAGCAGAGTTCTCTGATTTCAGACCTTAGCCCTCAGGCGCTTGCTGTAGAGCTTAGAGATCCCTCTAGGAGCCAGTTAGGTTGATCACTGCAGAATATTCATCTCGTTTACAGACTTTCTCAGACACTCTACCCAGTGAGAGATGGCTTGCTTTTACTAGAACTTGGGTTTGATATCTTGAAGTTGGTTCAACAGTGGTTGGTTCTTACACAGAGCATGAGCAGAAAGTTTGTATTGCAAATACTTTACCATTGGAACAGCTTTTCCACGTTTCTGGCACCTGTTGGTCTCTGAGTGTTTAAAACCAGAAGACAACCATTGAGAGTAAACATCGTTTTCCTTGGAAACAAAACACTGAGAGTAGTACCCTCTCTCTGCAGTTCTGGACTCAGAAACATTTGTCATTTACAATCATCTAAACTTTTAAAAACCAGTTTCCCCAAACTATTAAAAAAAATCCACCCTAATGAACCCAATTAAGAATTTGCTTGCAGAGTTTGAGAAAACGGAGAAATGCTTCATGCATTGTGAGCTCGGAGGATGACTGGGTCTCCTCTCCTTTGCTGAGAGAGCCCGGCCCGCTAGTGGTTAGATCGAGGGCAATGGGTGCCACCTCAGTGGAAGGGGACCATTGGTTGGGCATCAGATCAGCCCGAGGTAAGTAGCGACCAGGAGCCAGCTGTGATCAGCCAGCCTGGCCACGGCTGCAGAAGGGCAGTCTCCGCACCCTCAGCCTCCAGCTCCCACTGATGAGGGCCCACTGGATTCATCTTTGAGAGAGAGATATTATCTTCAACACCCATGAAGGCTTTTCTGGCCCTAACGAATATGTTAAGGTCCCTTTCTTCACGCTAAACCATCTGAGAAACATGAGGCTTTGCCTTTCTCTACAGTAACACAAGTTATCTTCACTGAAGGAAGACTTATTTACTATGTGTATTTTTCTTGGGATTACCCAAAGCATTGGAGGCTAGTTACTGTAAGACGGCAGCCGTTTTCACAGTTCCTTCTCATCAGGGCTCCGCTTCACATCCCAAAAATGAAGACTGAATTCATAAAATGATGGTTGCTCATTTGTGATAGGCTATCCTTCCAATCTGGTCAAGTGGGTGTTGGGGCTCAAAGTACCACAAAAATCGTGCTTGAGATAAAAGACACCCTGGGGGATTTTTCCCCATCCTGGACCTGCCCCAGAGCAGTGTGCAATCAGTGATTGTGCAGGGAACTCAGGCCAATGACTGTGCACCATAGCCTTTGCGTCCGAGGTCCAGGTCCCCACTCCTCAGGTAAGTCAGCCTGCCTGTCTGCATTGCCGGTGAGGTGTGGATTGTTTAGTGAGAGCATAGCACAAACTGATGTAGTTTAGGAAGGCTTTGCACTGATAGGAAGTAACTGCTTGAACAGGAGAAAAATCTAAACCAATGTCTTTTTTTAAAGATGTCAGAAATGGTGCCGCTGCCGATATAATATTTCTAGTGGATTCCTCTTGGAGCATTGGAAAGGAACATTTCCAACTTGTTCGAGAGTTTCTATATGATGTTATAAAATCTTTAGCTGTGGGAGAAAATGATTTCCGTTTTGCTCTGGTCAAGTTCAACGGCAACCCACATACCGAGTTCCTGTTAAATACGTATCATTCCAAACAAGAGGTTCTCTCTCATATTTCCAACCTGTCTTATATTGAGGGAAGCAATCAGACCGGAACAGGATTAGAATACGTAACACAGAACCACCTCACTGAGGCTGCTGGAAGCCGGGCCAGGGATGGAGTCCCTCAGGTTATCGTAGTGTTAACTGTTGGACACTCGGACCACCGCCTCGCTCTGCCCCCAGCGGAACTTAAGTCTGCTGACGTTAACGTGTTTGCAATTGGAGTTGAGGATGCAGATGAAGGAGCCTTAAAAGAAATAGCAAGCGAACCATTCAATATGCATATTTTCAACCTAGAGAATTTCACCTCCCTTCATGACATAGTAGGAAACTTAGTGTCCTGTGTGCGTTCATCCGTGGCTCTAGAAAGGGCTGGAGGCACAGAGACCCTTAAAGACATCACAGGTAATGGCAACGCTGCCACGCTGCTGCCCGCCTTGCTGTTCCTTGAGATAAGCTTGGCTCCTGCTGGCCTTAAAGCACCACTATGGCTAAACCATGGCGGGTGGATCAGGGAGATGAGCATTCGCAGGTTTAAAAACAAAGGTTTGAATAGTCTCTTAGTCGCCTTCTGAGACAAAGCACTCACCCACATCAAACAATTACTCTTTAACTCAAAAAACCACATCCCACAAAAGAAAGCATCAGTGTGGCCACTTGTGACGGGAATAGAGGGACCATCTCCTTAAAGAACGCTCCGTGTGGGAAAGAGTGAGGACGGAGAGAGAAAGGGCATCTGCTTTAGTGTCCAGTAGGGTAACAAGAGAGCTCCTCTCTTTTGCTCCATGAAGTTTATTCCGGAGAATTGGTGGAGTTAGAATTGTAAGAAACCTCAGAAACGATCCAGTCCAAGTCTATTTGGAGGAAACTGAGTCCTAGAAGTAAGTGACCTATAGTTAGAGTCCAGCTGGAGGCCCTTGGGCCTTGGCTCTGAGTCTGGTTTCTCACACGTCCATGCTACAACCATGGCTGTGCCCACAGAGGCTCTCCTACTCAAAAGCCCTGTCAGTGCCACTTGCAAGTACTGGTAACGCTGACACGACACTGGCGGGTTATCGCACAGGGGCATGTGCAGAATGAACTGGCTGGCAAGTTATTTAACCAGTCAAGCCTGTGAGCTCTCTCTGCAGCACTGAGTGTCTAAAAGACCAATAGGGAAGGGATTTGACAAGTAAAATGTCAAGTGTATGGTACATGGCAATTTTGACCAGTACCCATGGCTAGGCTTCCTCATCAGTGATGGGAAGGGTGGAGGGAACTAGTCCGTGAAGCCAACTGACAATGGAGAACAGAGGATTTTAGGTGCATGATCAGGGAGTTAAGGGGGAATCCAGGGCCTCAGGGGAGAGATGAGTTCCAGAGAGAGACGCATGTCCTCTGAGATGGAGGGCAGGGAGGAGAAAGGGAAGCAGGGAGACTTGGTGTCAGGAGGATGGAGCCAGCTGTCTCGGGCAGGCAGAGCTTGGTTACGAGAAGGGTTTCAGAACTGACCAACCCCAAGGTGTTTCATTAGGTTGTTCATAGAATGGTTGCCCCAATAGTTCCCCATGATTTCAGATTTGATGGCATGAGAGGGCTAATGCCCTACCAGTGGGCCTACTTCTAATAGAGAGGAGTGAGTGACAGGCTGGATTATTTCTATTTAACACTAAAAAGCTCCTCTCCTTTGAAAGACATGTTTCGTTTCTATGCTAGTGTTGATCCTGCCAGATTACAGAAAAAGAACATGGGGCCCTAGGAGCACCCCAAACCAAACAGTCCAGGTTGCAAGAAAATAACCTGCTCCATTTGATACACTAAACTCAGAATCAATAATCCACTGATCATTGCATTTCTGAATATAGGTAAAATAACCAATTTATGTCAAAAATAATAAAGGAGATCAGTAGAGAAATGGGGCACCTTTATCGATGGCCAAATCAGGAAAAAGAGTAGATGAGTTTGCCTTTATGTTCAATCATTATATAAATGAGCAGATAATTAAAGTCTGAATGCTAAGTGAGCTATCAGCACAGCATGTTTCCACACTGATGATAAACCTTTGTTTTTATGCCGAGAAAGCATCTCTGTCTTCTAGTGTCCAAGCCACTAGCAGCACCAGGGTGGACTATTAATCCATTTATGTTGTCTTTTCTAATTAACTTCACTCTGCAATTTTTCCAGAACTGTGTCCCACTGCATGCTCCACAGTAAGATAATAATAATAATAATAATAATAATAATAATAATTCTCTGCTTATCATTTGGGGAAAGGTAATCAGATAGGAAGGCATTCCAGAAATGTCTAATGAGGTGGGGCAATTTCTTCCCATTATGTGTCCACCAGGTAACTTTTCCCCAGAAATATATATGTGTGTGTGTGAGTGTGTGTATATAAAATGTTAGTGATTGCCACTGTTCTAAATGAACTCTATTCAATGAAGCTCTAAGAGTTGTGTTTTTAAGTGGATATAGGACACAAAAGCTTTAAACTGAAGGGAAAGCTAAAGGTGATCTATATTCAGTGAGGATTCCAGCTTTCTTTTCTCTGAAAAATATAAAGATTTCAAGAACTCATGGAATCTATCAACCATTTTGCATTTGCATAGGAAATGCAAAGGTGCTCTTTTAAATTTACCTTAAAAAAAAGGAAGCAGCCCGTGAGTAAGGAAGGCACTGTGCCCATGCTCACGTGCTCAGGAAAGCAGTGTTGAGGGAGCCCTTGATTTTTCCATGGACATTGTGAAACTTTTCTGTAGAAAATGCCACGGAGGGTGTGAGATGTGAGCCATAGAGACAGAAAACCAGAGAGGTTCACAGTCTTAATTCTAGGTAGAGCTGATTACCCTTCGCGTTCCCATGGATCACTGGTGTGCCTGCCGTACACAAGAACCCGGCTCTTGTGTCTTCCTGAGGCTTCGGCTCTCCTGGATAACACAGCATGCCCGTGTGTGTCCCATCATGTGTGCATAAGAGGACAAGGTTGTTTTTTCAGTGATGACAAATTATCCAACATTTTTCTATGACCTGCAGCTGTTCAGCCTTTGAGAAGAGAAATATTCAAGGGTTTTACCTCAGGGTTCATTGCTCTTATTTATACCATTGCAAATGGCAATAAAAGTAAGTAATAAATTAGTAAGAAATACCTCATCCTATGATATTTTCTATTATTGACCCTGGGATCATCATTAATTCTTCTTTTAAATGTCTCCCTATGCTACATATGTGGCAAACCTTCCTTGGTCCCTCAGGGTCATTGGTTTAGGCCTGAGAAATGTTGAGGAATTCTGCCATGTGATTGGCAGAACCTCAAGTCCTGTGATGATGTGAGATATCTCATTGGCCTGCTCTGCAGTCATACTGCTAGTACCACCCTCCCACAGATCCTTAAGGAATCCCAGGTTTTGGCTAAAGAGTGCTGAATGTTTTAGCATTCTTAGCAAAGGCCTGGTCTTAATTATTCTGTATGCAATGATTAAAAATGCAAGATCTTAATTACTCTAGTGAAAAATTATGCTCATTAGACCTTATATTTCCAGTTAATCTTAAAATATCTTATAAGATATTTCCAAGTTAATATATTTCCCTATGCCAGGAATTCATCTGCAAAGATGTTGTCAGAGATTGTGTGTATTTGAGAAAAATGTGAGAGATGTTCTGATTTGAGCAGTCACAGGCTCAGCTTATACAGTGAGAGAGCTTGGGTGAGAATATAATTTCACTGTAGCAAAACTTTTCAATTTCCTGAGACAAGATTTGTATCCCATTTCTGCAGTGAAAATAAAAGCAATTTTGTTGGTACAAAAATAGTTTTAAATATAAAATATTCACTGTCATTAAGAAGATCAGAATAAATGGTCTTATTTATAATATTATAATTATACCCAAAATATAGGTTCCTAAAATCTCAGAATGTAAATGTCATATATATTCATATGAATCTCTTCCTATTCTGTCATGCACTTAATTTATCAAACAAACTCTTACCAGAATAATTTTGCTTTTCCTGTAGTTTAAATCAGTCTGATTTCAATATTCTAGCTGAGCCTTTGAAATATTCTACTCAGGTTTGTAGATTTATTGATTGCTCAGTGCTTCTATGAGATTCCAATTCTTAGTATCAGAATGGAAGTTTCATATTGGCTATTTTTTTTTGTCCATTAATATAACCCCAGAGCTAATTCTGATTAAGGGTTCATTAGATGCACATGGTCCCACTAGGCAAGCAGTTTAGGATGTCATGAAAACAAAGTTGGATAATTATGTCATGACTGGTTTCATATCACTCTGCTTAACATTGTTCTGCATTACACGACTGAATATAGAGGCACTAGCAGAACTACATGAACACAACATCTAGCCTAACCCCAGACCTGCATTGGAGTTTTATGCAACTAATCGTTTTATGAGAAAAATAAATTCAAATCAAAATTTTATCAGAGTATTTTAAAAATTAAAACTTGAAGTGCCGTTTGAGGTCAACCTTTCAAATTAACAAAGTTGCATGTATGCAGCCATCTTGGTTTTTAAAGAAAGAAAAAAAAAAGATACAACAGTTGCTCAAGAATCAAGAGTTTAACATACTGGGGTGATGAGTCACCAGCCCCTGAATCTCACATTCCATTTTGAAGCTGTGGATTTGGATAAAAAATTCTTACAATCACTTGAGGATAGTAAGAGAAATGCCCCCAAATTAGAATTCAACTTTGAACCTTTGTTAATGTCCTCCTTCATTTTCTCCTGTGGGTATGGTAGTGCACAATTCCATGAAACTGCATTTCCCTCCAAATTTAGTAGAAAATTTTAGAATATGCATCCATGATTTTCACCCACAGAAAAGTGAAGGTGATCCCTACACAGATGGCACAGATAAAAATGTGAGGTAAAGGTCCCTATTTCACATCATCATTTCTAAGAAGTTGCCTCTTATTCATTCCGAATGCAGAACGAAAAGAGAATTCCACGTTCCCTAATCAACATGTGTTTTGTTTGTCTTATTTCGTGTTTCTTATTGGTTTCCAAAGAAACATGTCAGAACACTGAACAATGCATGTAGTCACTTGTTCTAACGCTTTCACATTTTTTGCATTTCTTTCTTTTAAAGCACAAGACTCTGCTGACATTATTTTCCTTATTGATGGATCAAACAACACCGGAAGTGTCAATTTCACAGTCATTCGCGACTTCCTTGTCAATCTCCTTGAGAGACTGTCAGTCGGAGCTCAGCAGATCCGAGTGGGGGTGGTCCAGTATAGCGATGAGCCCAGAACCATGTTCTCCTTGGACACCTACCCCACCAAGGCTCAGGTTCTGGATGCGGTCAAAGCCCTTGGGTTCATTGGTGGGGAGTTGGCCAATATCGGCTTTGCCCTTGATTTCGTGGTGGAGAATCACTTCACCCGGGCAGGGGGCAGCCGCGTGGACGAAGGGGTTCCCCAGGTGCTGGTGCTCATAAGTGCCGGGCCTTCTAGTGACGAGATCCACGACGGGGTGGTGGCGCTGAAGCAGGCTAGCGTGTTCTCTTTCGCCCTCGGAGCCCAGGCCGCCCCCAGGGCAGAGCTTCAGTACATAGCTACCAATGACAACTTGGTGTTTACTGTCCCGGAATTCCGTAGCTTTGGGGACCTCCAGGAGCAATTACTGTCGTACATTGTTGGCGTGGCCCAAAGGCTCATTGTCTTGCAACCGCCAACCATTGTCACACAAGGTACGTATGCTCTTCTCACCATCCGAGGGGTTGCGGGGTGTTTTGTGTGTTGGTGTTTGTGGAAGGAAGGCAGGCACCTCACAGAATGAATCGCCTGAGGAGGACCTGTAAGTACCACAGCCGAGCCCTCTGGAGGTGAGCTGGCTCTTGGAACTCATGTCTGGGATGGTGGGGGTCTCTAAAAAGCTGAAGATATACGAGTGGAAAGCTCTTGTCAGACTGTGAGGCCAATTCAACAGACCTGCTCCTTTGAGACATCAGACACCATGTTGTCATCTCTTCATAATGCAGTCATGGTACGGTGGACCTCAGGGGCTGATTACAGTCCTGAGAAAATGACTCCAGGGAAAGGGCATTGGCCTCTGAGAGCCAGCAGGTTAGAGGTGTGCTCACAGATCCCTGAGGGCTGTCTCCCCTAAGTCCTCTGTGTGCTGAGTATTGAGAGGTGGGGTTCTGCAGGTAAGGCATAACAGAGCCCTCACGTGGTGTAATATTTAGGAGAAACTTTTCCCTGCGTCTGTCAAGTTTAGGAATAGTTCTTCTGAGTAGAGAGATATAACAGAGCCCTCACGTGGTGTAATATTTAGGAGAAATATTCCCTGTGTCTGTCAAGTTTAGGAATAGTTCTGAATGGAGAGACGATGACATACACTCAAATGAGGGTCTTTGGGCAGAAAGTCCAATGGGAGCCATTTAAAAAATATAGAACTAACCAGGTCCCATAAATACATATGTAACAACTGTTGGAGGTGGGAAGTAGATTTCAGAATTTAAATAAGAATGCAATGGTGCTTGGTGCAAGGCAGTGAAAGAACCGGCAGACACAGGTGTACCAAGTGATATGAGCTGTGGATGCCCTCTGTCCATCAGATCTTGTTACGGTGGCTCCAGGCATGTAGTTGGGCAGGTAAATTAGAATCAATGCGACATTACATTCTGAAGATCCTCTTGATATTTACAGACATCCCTCTGATGGGAATACAACCCACTAAGGTTTCTCCGGGCTTGCACACTTTTGGAAACAAACACACGATTTCCACAGGTTTTGTAAACACTGCAGGAGTGCCATGGTGAACTGGCTTCTGAGCCCAAATCCCAGCCTCACCAGCTGCATGATGCTGGGCTGAGGCACAGGGATCACACTCGGTGAGGATATAGTTCTGTTCCAGGCAAGGTTTCAAACTTTTTTATTTTGGGCAGCGCGCTGCCCTCATTTTAGTTTTCCCAAGCTAACTAGCTGATTAAGTGTGAATTCCTCGTTTACACATCATCTTTAATCTTTGTGATTAGTTTGTAAATATTCAACTAATATTCTTGGCTCTCTGGTATGAGCCCAACGGTATGCCAGGCCCTGGAGTTACAGGACTGGTGACCGAGATGAATGTGGCTGCTGGTGCATCAGAATATAACGGGGAAATAGTTGACAAAACTATAAACCAGCGACCACACCAAATATTCCCCAAGTGAAGAGTTGGATGAGGACACTACAGGGGAGTCAGGGTGAGCAGATTTGGGTCTTCAGGTGTGGCTAGAGGGTGGAGCCTGAGGGAGCTGGAGGGATGAGGCCAGGAGGGGGCGGTGAGTGGGAGCAATAGGGCCAACAGCTTCAGATGGGGCGGCCGGCAGGGGAAGGCTGGCCTGAGAGGGGTATGAAGAAAGGAGGCAAGCAGGTGAGGAGCAGAGGGGAGAGAGTCCCAGGTGGCTGCCTGCAGCGCACAGGAGCCTGGCATCTCCCAGCGGGGCTGGCGATAATGGACAAGTGGGAGAACAGCTTTACTGTGGGCATGCGGAGAGTGAGTGAGAGGAGCGTGGCGCTGGGGCTGACATGCTCGTGGGCCGAGAGGAGAGGTCTGGGAGTGGATGGGGAGAGACAGGCTGGGGACCAGGCTGCAGGCACTGTGCTTGTACAGCTGGTGAGGAAAGGAATGCTCTGGAAAGGAGCCTGGGGGAGCAGTCAGTGATAGAGGGAGATGAGAGGGAGGGTGCTGGAAGCCGGGTGAGGGCAGTGTGAATCCAGGGAGGCAGAGATCACCTGGGGCCCGAACTGCCAAGAAGCTGATTAGGATGAAGACATGGGGTCATTGGTGTGGGGGAGGGAGGGGAGGTTGTGGTGGGTGCAATGGGAGCTGAGGGCATCCCCCCACCTGTGAGTTTGCTGTGTGGCAGTGCTGGCGGGACAGCTTTGAGCAGAGTGCAAAGCTTGCCGGGAGTGTCTGACTGAGGGAAGGGCCAGGGAGCTGGGGCCAAGGCTCTGAAGATGGAGAGAGGGAAGTGAGTGAGCAAGGGGCCAACTGGGAGTCAGGGTGAGCAGATTTGGGGCTTCAGGTGTGGCTGGAGGGTGGAGCCTGAGGGAGCTGGAAGGATGAGGCCAGGAGGGGGTGGTGAGTGAGAGATTTCAGAGCCATTCCTGAAGACTTGACCACCTGTGGCCCTGGACACGGGCACTGGGGACAGGAGGATGTGCTTTATTAGAAGTCAGGGTCCCGAGTCACTGAGAAGAGCAGCCTAAGCGTAGCCCCAAGTCACTCTAATAGTAGGGTGGAGAGGAGACAGCCCTGAGAAAGGGGGCGGGGGTCTGGACAGTTGAAGAGAATTTGCTTGGAAACAGTGCGGGGACAGTCGCCCGTCCTGGGCTGTCAGGGCTGCAGGGAAGCCTCGTTTTGGGGGACGTGCTGGTGTCGGTCAACAGGGAGGTGAGGGCTGAAGCCAACAGATTAGTGGAACCTCAGGCTCACCTCCCAGCGAGGGTATGGCAAACCCAGCCCCAGCAGAACCGGGTGCAAGAGCAAGAGGCTCCGCTTGGGTAGGCATCTCAGGAGGAAGGGGCTGTCACTCCAGCAGATGCCGGGAGTGGGCTGGGACAGGGTGGGGGCGGGTGCTGATTGGTCTTTCTAATCACCCATCACATGCAGTGCACACCTCTCGCTGAGCACAGGAAACTGCTCACAGGGTATCAGCATTAGCTCCTCCGTCTGTGGTTATAAGGGGGGCGGGCGTGTGTGAGTACATATGGACCCAGGTGTGCTCGCTGTCCTTGTCTGTGTGTGAAAGCAGGCATATGACTGTTTGTATGGCTCATACATGTCCTGCACAGAGTAATGGAGGGGGAGAAGAAGAAGGCGGGCATGGGATACTCCTGTGTTTCAGCAGCAGGTACAGTGAGAACCCCAGGCATCTGCATGGTCTCCAGGAGAGCTAGGGACTTGAAATGTATTGTTTACGCCACAACTTGGCACCAAAGCCATGGTCTCCGTGTGCCTGCCCCTAATGCTTGGTGTCGGTGTGCATTTCCGTGTTTTCTCTGAAAGAGGAGAGTGTGGGCTGATAAACGTCAGTGTAGTCACATGTCAAGTAGGTGAGAGTGCTTCATATTATTGATCTGACCACTCGAGTGACAGGGGCTCCTTGCGGCCAGATAATGACTGAATAAGCGGAGCCTTCTGGCCTCAGCTGTCAGCACTGGTGTTCCTGTAAGTCCGGACGCCCTGCCGGTTTCTGGGTGGGGTGCAGAGGGCTGATTCAAGTCTTCGGTCCTGTGACTCAGGCACTGCCCACGCGGTGACACGCAGGGCACAGAGGCCTTGTCCAGGTGTCCTTGCTTCATGGTTTGTCTTTAAGGAATCACACAGTTACCATGAGACTTAGTGCCTTCACAGCACAGGGCTCCGACAGAAAATGCTCTGTGCCATTGACTGGTTTTGACACTGGTTTCCTTTTTATAAGTTTTATGATGCCAAGTAATTGGTATGTTACTTCCCCCTCTGCCTGGAAAACCAAGGCATGGAGACTAGAGCGGAAGGAACGGGCATTTGCGCTCTCAGCGTTTGCACTTGGCAGTAGGTGCTCATGAACTCCCGATCATGCCACGGGGGCCTCTGAGCCCCACTGATCGCTTCCTCCATTACCTGGGCTCTGGCCTCATTCTGGCCTCGCAAACCCAAGCCTTAGATTTATGGCAGGAAAGAGCTTCTTGACTTTTTAAGTGACAACATGTTAATCAGGTGGCTACTGAAACGAAATCTGTTTTTGGGCTATAATTTTGTACAGAAGTGCTGAGTGGGTGGGGGATGTGCTACCCCATAGGGAAGGACACTGCTCTCACTCTCCTGTGTGTGTAATGACAAGCTCCCCCCCGCCCCCGACGTCAGATTTATGGCAGGAAAGAGCTTCTTGACTTTTTAAGTGACAACATGTTAATCAGGTGGCTACTGAAACGAAATCTGTTTTTGGGCTATAATTTTGTACAGAAGTGCCGAGTGGGTGGGGGATGTGCTACCCCATAGGGAAGGACACTGCTCTCACTCTCCTGTGTGTGTAATGACAGGCTCCCCCCCGCCCCCGACGTTACCTTAGCCAGAGCTAATGGGGAAGTTCTTTGAACAGAATGAACTGTGTAGAGTCATAGTTGAATGTGGTTGGAAAGACTGCTCCACTCACCTTCTCATATTGCTACCTACAGTCATTGAAGTCAACAAGCGGGACATACTTTTCCTTGTGGATGGCTCATCAGCACTGGACCTGTCCAACTTCAATGCCATCCGGGATTTCATTATCAAGGTCATCCAGAGGCTGGAAATTGGACAGGATCTCATCCAGGTGGCAGTGGCTCAGTACGCAAACACTGTGAGGCCAGAGTTTTATTTCAGTAGCTACCCCAGCAAGAAGGAGGTCATTACCGCCGTGCGGAGAATGAAGCCCATGGGAGGCTCGGCCCTGAACACGGGCGCCGCTCTGGACTTCGTTAGGAACAACCTGTTCACTAGTGCGGCAGGGCACCGGGTCGTCGAGGGGGTCCCCAAGCTCCTGGTGCTGATTACAGGCGGTAAGTCCCTAGACGAAGTCAGCCAGCCGGCCCAGGAGCTGAAGAGGAGCAGCATCCTGTGCTTTGCGGTTGGGAGCAAGGCTGCCGACCAGGCGGAGTTGGCGGACATGGCCTTTGATTCGTCGCTGGTGTTCACCCCGGCTGAGTTCCAAGCTGCCCCTTTGCAAGGCATGCTGCCCAGCTTGCTGGCGCCTCTCAGGACCCTCTCCGGAACCACGGAAGGTACGGCTGGGGTGGGAGGTGTCAGACACACCACAGGGTGGCCTCCAGGCGGAGCCTTTGAGAAACAAAACAAAAGGAAGTTTTACTTGTGTTCAGTTAGGAGACAACTCTGAAATGGTGGAAGCAAGAGCCACACATGAGTTTTATTTCAGGTTTCCGTTTACCCTGAGCAGGGAATTGTAGGACTTGGATGCACTATGACACAACTGCATGTCTTAAGATGTCACACGAGAATTGTACGCCTTCAAATGTCATAAGGACCATCTGACTCGAATTATAGGATCAGGGCCACCTGTCTTTGAAGCTTCTAGCTGAGGAGGTCACTTCTCAGTTCCTGTCCCTCGTGAGGTCCCAGTGTTCAGTTTCTCCTGGTGACACCTGTCTGGCCTCCTTTTCCCACCACCAACATGTAGACTGGATCTTCCTCTCCTGAGCTGACAGTCCACTTCTAAGTGATTCGAACCTGACCAGCGTAGAACATTAACCCTCTCTCCTCTCTCTTTAAGGGATTTCCTTAAGTGCAAAATATAGTGAATGAATGGGCATGAAGAGAAAAACCCAGTGGTTGTTTCAATCTCTCATTTAATATGATTGTCAGTGGGAAGTTTTTTTAAAACACATTCTAGCAGTCTATGACCTCATGAATTGAATAAGTATAATTTGCCGTCCTCAGTGAAGATTAATATTATGGAAACAAGCTTTTCCACCTCACAAGCTTTACCACTGGAAGGGTGTTCAGTGCACAACCCATGTTGCATGACCCATGTTGCATGTTGTATGACCCATGTTGTAGGACCCATGTTGCACAACCCATGTTGCATGAGTGCATGCTTTCTCTTCATGCTCTCTGGTCTTCTAAAAGCCTCTCTCTCTCTCTCTCTCTCTCTCTCTCTGCCTGCCTGTCTGTCTCTCTCCCTCTCTTTTATTTTCTTAAAAATTCTAACCCACCCTCTCATAGCCAAAGTACAATTTCATAGAACATAGGATAAAATTAGTTGTTAGGTTTATATTTCAGTGAGACACCAGGGAAGAGATGGGAAGTAATTTTTTCAAAGGACATGTACTAAATGTGTTGGGGAAAAAACTCTAATTTGAGAATTACACTTTTGATTCTTCATGTGTACAGCCTCAGCCAAGCATAGCAAGTAGACTCTGTATTTTCACATGTTTCCAGGATTCTGTGATCTCACCCAGAGGGATTCCCATAGGTACCCTTTTGGATTAACATCTGGCAATCCCGTGATGCCCTGTTAGGAAAAGAGGACAGTAGGAAATGACAAATGGGTGCCCCTAGGAATCCTTCATGATGAGAACAGACTAACAGTATTGAGTTTTTTAGTCATAAGGAACTCATGTTCTCAGGTTAACTTGGGTTAAGGCTTCTAACCTATCTGTAAGGGGAATCTCTGTGAATGTGTAGAGGTGAACCCCCAAGGACCCAGGTGAACTTGGCTGTGAACCTGATTCAGAGACACGAGTGAGACAGAATTTGACAGCACTCTTGCAGAATTCATTCCCTAGGAAGGATGTTCTGGTTCAAGGACTCGATCCTTTTTGTTGTTTGAAAGCAGTCTACCTTTGGCGCAGTGTCTCTCTGTGAGCCAACTTGGTCCCATAAACTTGGCTATGGACATACCTCATAGCACCAGTCGCCATGGAGGAAAATATGTGCCCCTCTGCCATATTTTACCAGATGGATGTGCTTTGCCTCACTGATGTCTTGTGTCTTATGTGTTGGCATGTGTGCACCGGTTGCGGGCACACATGAGTGTGTGTGTCTCACTTTGTTTTCTGTGCTTCACTGCAGTTCACGTAAACCCAAGGGATATCATCTTTCTTTTGGATGGATCGCTCAACGTTGGAAAGACCAACTTCCCCTATGTGCGGGACTTTGTAATGAACGTAGTTAACAGCCTTGATGTTGGAAGCGACAGTATTCGTGTGGGTTTAGTGCAATTTAGTGACACTCCGGTCACGGAGTTCTCCCTAAACACGTACCAGACAAAGTCAGATTTGCTTGCTCATCTGAGACAGCTGCAGCTCCAGGGGGGGTCAGGCCTGAACACGGGCTCGGCCCTGCGCTATGTCCATGCCAACCACTTCATCGAAGCTGGCGGCAGCAGGATCCGCGAACACGTCCCACAGCTCCTGCTCCTGCTCACAGCAGGGCGGTCTGAGGACTCCTATTTGCAAGCCGCCAATGCACTAGCCCGAGAGGGCGTCCTGACCTTTTGTGTGGGAGCCCACCAGGCGGATAAGGCCGAGCTTGAGCAGATTGCTTTTAACCCGAGCCTGGTGTATCTCATGGATGATTTCCGCTCCCTGTCAGCTTTGCCGCAGCAGCTGATTCAGCCCCTAACCACATATGTTAGTGGAGGTGTGGAGGAGGTGCAACTCACCCAGCCAGGTAAAGCTCCCCCACTGCACGGGGCTCCCTCCCCTGGCAGGCAGGTGGCCCAACCTGAACTCAAGAGCATGGTGAACCCTAGAAACTCGACTGACTCCCTTTGGTTGGAATATTTTGATTGGGGGTCTGAGACACTGTACCAGCAAGTTTACATTCTCTATCTAAAGGGTGTTCATTGATGAAAGCGAGTCTAGAAAATTCAGCTTCCATTCCTTGCATCTTATCCCACCCTTTATTCAAAAGCTGTCTCCCCCACCCCCAATGCCTGTGAAGATTCTGGGGTGCAAATCCAGGTGGAAGTGAGAGGGTGTAGATAGATAGAGGTGGGTCTCCTGTCACACATGAGGATGGCTTGGCGTCAGTTAGAAATCACAGTTCTTTTCTTGATATGACTTTTTTTTTTTATGTTCAAAATCTGCTGTATCTAGACAATTATTTGTTGTAAACCCAACAAAGCCAGCCACTCTATGTGACGGTAACACAATTTCCAAAGGAAGTCCGGATAGTTGTTCTTATTGCAAGTTAATTTGGTGGTGAGATATGGAGTACTGGATCTTGCAGCTGACATCACACGGACAGGTAGCAAGACTGAGACAACCGAAACCTAATCGAATGAATTCCCATTGTGTGAACTGAAAATCATGTTCACGTTACCCATTGTAGCCCCATATGGGCGGTCATCCTTTCTTGTCTAAATACAGCAGCTTGGAAAGCAGTGACAGAAGCCTGCCTGACCACAGAGCAAGGACAGACACCATTTTGGTCCTCATCCATAACCTCCAATTTAATGAAAAGATAATCCAGTTAGAGCTGATCATCGACTCAGCTGATAATGTGTCAACTCAGTTATCCTTGTGTAATTAAACCACATCAGCCTTTGTCACTAGAGATAGGTCAATTTTTAGGCAAAAGGACAATAAGGACCACATGTTTGATAGTTTAGTTTATAGTTTGAAAACACTGTCTGTTCTCCTAGAGCAGTGATGGCGAACCCTATGACACACGTGTCAGGTGACACACGTACTCATTTTTTTGGTTGATTTTTCTTTGTTAAATGGCATTTAAATATATAAAATAAATATCAAAAATATAAGTCTTTGTTTTACTATGGTTGTAAATATCAAAAAATTTCTATATGTGACACGGCACCAGAGTTAAGTTAGGGTTTTTCAAAATGCTGACACGCCGAGCTCAAAAGGTTCGCCATCACTGTCCTAGAGTGATGGCCCCCTGGTGCAAGAATAGAACCCCGTGGGCTTGTCCTTGTCTCGCTCTGTTGAGAAGCTTTCAGATTGGGTGGAGCGGCTTATTGTTCTGGTCCTTTGCAAGTATGCACTGCTTTGAAACGGACATTTAAAAATGTTTTTTATTGATTTCAGAGAGGAAGGGAGAGGGGGAGAGAGAGATAGAAACATCAATGATGAGAGAGAATCATGAATCAGCTGCCTCCTGCACGCCCCTACTATAGATCGAGCCCGCAACCCGGGCATGTGCCCCAAACGGAATCAAACCAGGACCTCTTGGTTCATGGGTCGATGCTGAGCCACACCAGCCAGGCCGAAACAGACATTTTACTGACAGTCGGTGAGGGTTCTGCCTCCCTTGTTGGTACAGTGATTGTCAGATGAATTGCGTGAACTCCTGTTACCAAATGCTGGTGGTGTTGGGCTGACGTCAGTTTGGTGCCTGTTAAATTCTTGAACCTCATGGTGTCCTAACCTCCTTTTTCTTGTAGAAAGCAAGCGAGACATTCTATTCCTCTTTGATGGCTCAGCCAATCTTGTGGGCCAGTTCCATGTCGTCCGTGACTTTCTCTACAAGGTGATCGATGAGCTTGATGTGAAGCCAGATGGGACCCGAATTGCAGTGGCTCAGTACAGCGACAATGTCAGGGTCGAGTCTCATTTTAATCAGCACCAGAACAAGCCTGAAATCCTGAATCTCGTGAAGAGAATGAAAATCAAGACTGGCAAAACCCTCAACGTGGGCTATGCCCTGGACTATGCACTCAGATCCATTTATGTGAAGTCTGCTGGGAGCCGGATAGAGGATGGAGTGCCCCAGTTCCTGGTGCTGCTGGTGGCAGGACGCTCGTTTGATAGTGTGGAAGGGCCGGCACGCCTGCTGAAGGAGAGGGGGGTGGTGCCTTTTGTGTTACAGGCCAAGAATGCAGACCCTGCCCAGTTAGAGCAGGTAGTACTATCCCCCGCCTTTATCTTGGCTGCAGAGTCACTTCCCAAGATTGGAGAACTTCAACCACAGATTGTGAATCTCCTGAAAACAGTGCCTTCACCAGGTATGGCATAGGAATTCTGGTTGGGCCTGCAGCTTAGTTCTCCAGGGTGTGGGTTGATGGTGGGCTGCTGGCTCCAGGTCCTGAGATCGAAGCCGTCCTTGGGTTTCCAGGGAAGGTGGAAGACTAACGATCATTTCTGTAGGAACAATGAAATATGACTTTTCCTTCCTCACTCGGACTCCATAACTGCTGTTTAGGGCAAAACAGGAGAATCAGGGTGATTATTTTGAAGGACATGAGAGTATCCTATATAATAAAAGGGTAATATGCAAATTTACCCTAACGGCAGAATGACCAGTCACTATGACATGCACGGACCAACCGGGGGCAGACGCTTAATGCAGGAGCTGCCCCCTGATGGTCAGTGTGCTGCCACAGGGGGAGCTCCGCTCAGCCACAAGCTGAGCTGATGGCTGCAAGCACAGCGATGGTGGCAGGAACCTCTCCCACCTCCTCGGCAGTGCTAAGGATGTCCGACACATCCCCTGAGGACTCCTGGGCTGCCAGAGGGATGTCTGACTGCCAGCTTAGGTCCAATCCCCTGGGGAGCGGGCCTAAGCCAGCAGGTGGACATCCCCCAAGGGGTCCCGGACTGTGAGAGGGCGCAGGCCGGACTGAGGGGAACCCCCGCCCCCGCCCCTCGAGTACACAAGTTTTCATGCATTGGGCCTCTAGTTTCACAATAAGATACGTGATAAAAATTTAGACATATTAGTGGTTAAAAATCCTTTGAAGACACATAATTTTTACTATATGCATAATAAAAGCCACATGACTTTGTTATAATGTAGTTAAGCCAGTCTTCATCTTCATATCCTGCTCCCTCCCCCCATCATATTTTAAGTGGGTGTCCCTGTGTTAGTATTCATTCCCTACACTAAGGACATAAGGCATGATGAGAGACAGATACATTCCCACTACACACACTGCATGAAACTGTTTCATCTACAGTACCATGCCTTTGTGTTTAACCACTTTCCATTTGCTGATACAAATGCAATGAAAAGAGTAATTAATTTCATCTACAATCCTTTTGATTAAAAGCTGAGAATCTAGAGTATTGACTATTGCTCCCACACACTGTTGCTCCCACACACTGTTGGTTTTGGATTATAACCTGGACATCTGGATTACATTTTCCCCCTATTGATCCACTATGACTTGCAGCAATTTATTTGAAACTGCCCATGTATAAAATGTTATTGGTTATGCAGGCTCTTCCATCCAGATCTCTCTAGCCCTCAGTGTTTTTCTTGAGTACACCTTTGAAAGTTTATTGCTCAAGCCTTGAACAATTCTAAAATGAAAGGGCTATCTATATAAACTGGTGAGTTTGTTTCCTCCTGTAACAAGTGGAGTGGCTTAAAACAAAAGGAATTAATCCTCTGACAGTTTTAGAGGTCAGAAACGCAAAACCAGTTCCACTGGGCTGAAATCAAGGTGTCAGCAAGAGTGTGTCCCTCTTGGAGGTCCCTGGCCGTTTCCAGCTCCTAGAGGCCGCTTGCATTCCTTGGCTTGCGGCTCCTTCCTCCAGCTTCAAAACCATAGCATAGTACCTTCTCTCTTCTCTGACCTCTGTTTCCTCTAAACCTGATCCTCTTGTCTCCCACCTATAAGGACATCCCCAAAGTCAAGTTCTGGGGATTCTGAATCGGACGTTCTTCAGCCCACCACCATCAGTAGGAAACTGTCCCTCTCATGTCCTGTGTGAGTCATTTGGGCTGTCTTCCTTCCAGTTTCAGCTGAAAAGGATGTGGTGTTTCTGCTCGACGGCTCTGACGGTGTCAGGAGCGGCTTCTCTCTGTTGAAGGATTTTGTCCAGAGAGTGGTGGAGAGCCTGGATGTGGGCCCAGACCGAGTCCGTGTGGCTGTGGTGCAGTACAGTGACCGGACCAGGCCCGAGTTCTACCTGAATTCATACATGGATCAGCAGAGTGTGGTCAATGCCATTCGAAGCCTGGCACTGCTGGGAGGGCCAACCCCCAACACCGGGGCCGCCCTGGACTTTGTCCTGAGGAATATCCTGATTAGCTCTGCCGGAAGCAGGATAGCAGAAGGCGTCCCCCAGCTCCTGATCGTCCTCACAGCAGACAGGTCCGGGGATGACGTGAGAGGCCCCTCGGTGGTCCTGAAGAGGGGCGGGGCTGTGCCCATCGGTATCGGCATCGGGAACGCCGACATCACGGAGATGCAGACCATCTCCTACATCCCAGGCTTCGCCGTGGCCGTTCCCACCTTCGGGCAGCTGGAGAACGTCCAGCAGGACATCTCCCAGAGGGTGACCCAGCTCACCAGAGAAGAGCTGAGGACGTTGCAGCCAGTGTTGATTCATCCACCGAGGCCAGGTAAGGAGGGGACTCTTGGATCATCATTCCTTGAAACATCTGGGGCTACTTGTTTGGACTGTGGCCTGCACATTTTGTTTCCTCTATTTATACCTAATTCCATGAAGAATTAGGAACCTCGTTTGGTCTCAGAAATGGTAGAGGCTTGGGGAGATGCTAAGATTCATGTTTTTGGCCAAAGTCTGAGGAAGGGCATGTGCCTCGCTGACAGTGCAGGTGCTCTGACTCTGCATGAAGCCTGATGTGTAGGTATCCAAAGGGCGGAGCCACCTCATTGACAACAGCAGTTCAGTGTGGTTCTGAGCTGACCAGAGGAGGTCCAGCCTTCCATGACCAGGGAGGGGGTTAGAACACAGGCTCTTCGTCAAGCTGGAACACAGTCTCTGAGATGTTGGTGTTTCCAGAGCCAAAGTGTGAGGATTGCTTTTGAATTTGCTTGGTGCTGAGAAGTGTCTTAGCTGGCAGGAAGGCCACCAGGCTGTGTGACAGCATTTACCCTATACCCTCCTTCCTATCTGCTTTCCTAGGCCTGGTTACAATAAACTAGAAAATGATGGGAGCCTGGCTGCTGAGAAGGAAGGGGATTGAGATGTGGCCACCCCCTCCAAAAATACCCAGCAGGGGCCTGTCCTTCCTGGGCCCCTGGATAGGGATGGTCAAAGTGGCAGAGAGACAGCCATGGCTTCTCCCTGTGGCTCCTGTTCTACAGGACACCATCCATGGCCTCATGGCATAGAGAGGGGGAAGGAAGGGAGGAGAAAAAGCCAGTGAGAAAAGTGGGATGCAGGAAACCTGCTTTTGGGTGGACGAGGGAGGCGAGGGTGATGGACACAGTGCGAGGGAGTGGGTGTCAGCTTCTCCTTGCTGGTGTCCAGGGCAGAGAGCAGCACGTGGAATGTTCTAAAGGGTTTGACACCAGATGAAAGTATGCATCAGTGAGGTAAACAAAGGGAAAGAGCTTCCCCCCTAATTGATGTGTGTGGTGCCTCCAGCGCAGTGGGGCCAGAGCCTTTTGCACAGCGCGGCTGCAGTGCCAGTGTTCCCGAGAGCGCCCTTTGGAAATGTCAGCACTGGGAACATGCAGCTCCTTTACCAGAAACGCAAGCCCATATTTCTATAATAACAGGATTCCTGCCCACTCACATTCCCTCTCTTTCAAGTGACTATATCCTTCCTCCTCTTTTCTCCCCACCCGCTTCTTCTATGCTCTTCTCCCTCAGCTTAGTCTGAGATGGTGGCTGAAATCCCATTTGACTGAGAAATGTAAGTAAATTGGAAAGAACTTCCAGAAGCACCATGTGGTCATCCCAGCACCGTATCCCCATCTCAGCTTCCCTCCTGTGCCCGTGGTGACCCGCCTCTGCTCCCGGGCTCTCCTGTCACCTGCTCATCTGCTTCGTCTCTCTCCTGCGTCACCAGGTCTCCACTGAGGGTGGGAAGGGTGGTTTCCTTCATGCTCAAACCTGTTGCTTTCTCTCTGTGTCAAACACTCTCTCCCGGTGCCCTGCATCCCCTCCAGCAGCGCCTTAGTCTCCTCTTAGGTGAGTTCCTATACTCCCTACAACTCCTCTCTGAACCACCCCTCTGCCCCTCACTCTCGCCACTCCACCCAGAGCGCTCTTCTCAAGGCCCCTCCAACCCACGGGCAATTCATAAGTGACATTTTGCTGTCACTGCTGAGGCCCCCTCCTTCCCGAAACACCATCCCCACTTCATCTACACATGTGTCTTGTGTGCCTAGTCTCTGCCTCCCTCAGTTACCCTTCCTTATCCTTTGCTGGTTCCTCTTCTCCTCCCTGACTTGTCATTGCTGTGCTAGGACTCAGAATTAGGATATTTTGCCCGTGGTGATTCCATGACAACCTGGGAGGTGGTTTGTTAATGCTGAGAATTAGGTGCCAACGAAGGTGAAACCCATGGTTTGATTCGGTTTGATTCGCAGGTGCAGGCAGCAAGAAGGATGTGGTCTTTCTCATTGATGGGTCCCTACGTGCTAGCCCTGAGTTTCAGTACATCCGCACCCTCATTGAGAGGCTGGTGGACTCGCTGGACGTGGGCTTTGACACGACCCGGGTGGCAGTCATCCAGTTCAGTGAGGACACCAATGTGGAGTTCTTGCTCAATGAATACTCCAGCAAGGAGGAGGTGCAGAATGCAGTGAGGCGGCTGCGGCCCAAGGGCGGGCGGCAGATCAACGTTGGGAATGCCCTGGAGTATGTGTCAAAAAATATCTTCAAGAGGCCACTGGGGAGCCGGATTGAAGAGGGCGTTCCTCAGTTCCTGGTCCTCATTTCGTCTGGAAAATCCGGGGATGAGGTGGACGACGCGGCAGCAGAGCTCAAGAGGAATGGCGTGGCACCATTTACCATCTCCAAGAGTGTGGACCAGGAGGAGCTGGTTAAGATTTCCCTGAGCCCTGAGTACGTGTTCTCAGTGAGCACCTTCCGGGAGCTGCCCAGCCTGGAGCAGAGGCTGCTGACGCCTATCACGACCCTGACCTCAGAGCAGATTCAGCAGATGCTGGCCCGCACTCCCTACCCTCCTCCCGGTGGGTTTGAATGTGTTGTTGTTGCTTCTCTCTGAGTGTTTTCGATATAAAAAAAAATAACAGGCTCAAAGATCCATGGTCCTCAGGATGAGTTAAAATAAAATAAAGGCACACCTGTGATTGAGCCACTTGGGCCTATTGCTTGTGGCCAGAAGGAAAGATGCACAGGATGGTGAACCACGGGATAGCTCAGTGTTAGAAAGGACTTCTGATAGGTCTCAGGCTTATGGTAGGTGAGTCTGTGGAAAGCTTAAGGAAGTGGGACTTTGCCAGGATCAGATGTTGTTAAGAAATTAAAGTAATTCTGTGATTGGGTGTCTTGCTAAATCTTATGGCTAAAGTTGTAATTGGTAAAGAAACAGTGGTCATTCCTATGAGCCAGGATAGAGCTGTGTTTGGTTATTTTTGTCTTCTTTTTTGTCAGTGTTCACATAGGATTCCAGCATGACTTCATTTTTGTCTTGCTCCATGGTGGCCACAGTGTGGCTTTCCCTGGTGTTGATGTTCTCTGAGGCCTGGCTGTGTGTGCCAGGAGAGATTTCCTCTTTCTCAATATAAACGTTTCAATTCCATGACTTGCTCACCTTTTGCTGTGCTGTTTCCACTATAAGTAGCCCAGTGATTTATGAAGCAAAAGACAGGTTGAATTTGTAGAGTGGAAACATATGAGTAGTTTAATACATTACATCCATGAAGTACCTAGAATTCTAACTAAGAGGAAAACAGGGTTTTCTGATTGGTTTTATAGTTAAATATGGACTCATGTAAAGAAGTGGGAACAGTAATATTGAAAATAAAAACTTTCTATAAACCTTAGAGAAATGTGAGCAAAAAGAAATACTATGACTGTAACACCTGGGGAGCTGTAGTGGCCCTCTGGGGGACAGTTGGGGTTACCTGGGAGGTCAGCAGCTGAGTGGTGACCATGGATGAGGAGAGGACCTTTGACCTCAGCTGCCTCTCTCTTCTTGTACAACAAGGATGTTGGTCTGGATGATCTCAGTTCTTTATGGTGGCAACAGTTCATGACTCTGTAGATTATGGTTTCCAGAATTTGTTTCTAAATATTGCTTTTATTTTAGAAATTAGTTGTAACCCAGACCCCAAAGCCCAAATTAAAATCGAATAAACTCAGAAAGTCTTGGAGACCTAACATATATCAAGAAGTGGATACTATTTAGGTGAAAAAGGCCCAGTTTTAATGATTAATTTTAAAAAGTCCAAGAAATAAACACCGATGACTCAGGTGATAGTTTTAATGTTAATATTATGGTGCAACATCACGCCAAGTCCAGAATACAATACAAACCTCAGAAACAAAGGCAGAAATCAAGACAGATGGGTGCCAGCCACGCACTGAGATTTCCTCTTCTTTTCTCCCCAGCTGCCGAGAGCGATGCTGCCGACATTGTCTTCCTCATTGACAGCTCCGATGGTGTGACGTCTGAAGGCATTGCACACATCCGAGACTTTATCATCAGGATTGTCCGAAGGCTCAACGTTGGCCCCAATAAAGTGAGAATTGGGGTTGTGCAGTTCAGCAATGATGTCTTCCCGGAATTCCAACTGAAGACCCATAAGTCCCAGGCCACTGTGCTCGATGCCCTCCGCCGCCTGAGGTTCAAAGGCGGGTCTCCACTGAACACCGGCAGAGCTCTGGAATATGTGGCAAAAAATCTCTTTATCAAGTCTGCTGGGAGCCGGAGAGAAGACGGGGTGCCCCAACACCTGGTTCTGTTTCTGGGTGGAAAATCCCGGGATGACATTTCCAGGCCTTCAATTTTGTTACGCGAGGCAGGGATTGTGAGTGTAGGGGTCGGAGACCGAAAAATTGACAGCTTGGAGCTGGAGGCTATCACCGGCTACCCCAGACTGGTCTTCACAGTGCGAGAGTTCAGAGATCTCCCCAGTGTAGAAGAGAGGATCATGTACTCATTAGGACCCTCGGGGATCACACCTGCACCACCGGGAGTGGACATACCCTCCCCCCCTCGGACAGGTATGAACTGTGGAACCCATGACTGTAGAGTATGACATCAATTGTTTTTCAACTGAGAAATGTAAATAGTAGCATTTATTTGAATAATTTTCATCTCATAGGGTTGTTGCTGCAGATAGTATTAGAAAGTAAATACCAGAATAATAAACAGTTGAAATTGTAGAAGGAAACATCCCAGAAAGCATATGGTCACTGATTCTTCCATGAGACTTCCATGAGCTTCCGTGAGGCTAACGTAGCCCCATTGAAAGGTTCTAGGAAGGTGCATTGAGGGGTAACCACAGGCTTGTTGGCTCTCAGAATAGGACAACATCATTGAAATTGGCCAATCTATGACCTTCTCTACTCTGATCTTGACCACTTGATATAATTGGGAAATTACCCCAAATGCCACTGATTTTCAGCAGGGTCCCACGAAGCTCTCAGCATACTGGCAGGCCACCCTCCAAAGGCATGGGGTCTGCTTCCCATTTTCCAATTTGTATCTGAAGCCTTTCCTTGCTCTGCCTCTAGCACATGTCCCCTGACTCCTGTCAGACATCATCCTTTGTTTTTGACCAGAAGAAAGTGTTCGATGGTATTTCCTAAAACACCTGAGGCCATGGACCACTGAATCCATAGTAGAGTACCATTTGGTAAGGGATAATGGGGACTCAGTTTCATGAGTTCTTGAGTCCTTTCCTTTTTGTTTCAGTGATTTATCATTTTATCTTCTTGTCTTTAGCATAATGTGTTGAGGGCTGTGAATTCAGAAGCCGTAGAGGCATGGGATTGAGCTAAGATGTTCAATGTGAATGAGTTACAGGAATGTCTTACGTCAATTATTTTAATTTATAGTTTGCTTATTAATGCATGACTATAGAAATCAAAGTTCTCCTCCTTTTCATTCTGGCCCCTCTTAGATAAAAAGAAAGCAGACATTGTGTTCCTATTGGACGGCTCCATCAACTTCCAGAGGAGCAGCTTCCAGGAGGTGCTCCACTTCGTGTCTGAGATCGTGGACACGGTTTATGGACAGGGCGACTCCATCCAGGTGGGGCTGGTCCAGTACAACTCTGACCCCACCGACGAGTTCTTCCTGAAGGACTTCTCCACTAAGCAGCAGATTATCGATGCCATCAACAAGGTGGTCTACAAAGGGGGGAGGCACGCGAACACCAAAGTGGCCATCGAGCACCTGCGGCTGAATCACTTCGTGCCGGAGGCGGGCAGCCGCCTGGATCAGCGGGTCCCTCAGATCGCGTTTGTGATCACCGGCGGGAAGTCCATGGAGGACGCTCAGGAGGCGAGCCTGGCACTCACCCAGAGAGGTGTCAAAGTGTTTGCGGTGGGCCTGGGAAACATCGACTCAGTGGAGGTCGGGAAGATTGCGTCCAACAGCGCCACGGCCTTTCGTGTGGGGAACATCCAGGAGCTGTCAGAGTTGAAGGAGCAGGTGTTGGAAACTCTGGACGATGCCATGAATGAGATCTTGTGTCCGGGGGTGACGGATGTTTCCAAAGGTAATCCTTTTCCTGAGCACGTTTTCCATCCAGTCTTGTTGATGTGACTTAGTGACCTAGGTCCCCAGCGCTGGCCTGTGGCTTCCTTAAGCATTGACCACTTCAGGCATTTCCTCATCTCACTGAGGGTGGGGTCCTGGTGGGCACCTAGCCAGGTCTCAGATGTTCTTCAAAGTGTGGAAGCTTGCCTTTCATGCCCTTATAAGATTTACCTTTTCTCCCTATTCTTTAATCCCCCAAATAATTCAGATGGCCCTTGTTTCTGTTTGTAGCCTTATTATATGAATTATGTGAGACCAGAGTATTTGAGTTCTCATGTTCAGGAACTTGGGAGGCATGTAAACAGCAACTATATGTCATGCCAAAATTGATTAATACCATGAAAAGAGCAACAGATTAAAATGACCTACTGTTCTGGTTCCTAACAGTCAGCACCGGTGTTCCCTGTGAGAGAGGCTGGTCTAATTTCTTCTCAAAGCTCATCCATAGAAGATCTCGTTTTGCCCTTGAGCATGACATCTGGCTCATGTCCTGGGGTTGTGCCTGTACCTTGAACTCACCTGTGCAGCCCCTCTCAGAGCTCATTGCCTGCTTTCTCCCTTTATAGCCTGTAATCTGGATGTGATTCTGGGGTTTGATGGTTCAAGAGATCAGAATGTCTTTGTGACTCAGAAAGGCCTTGAGTCTAAGGTGGACATCATCCTGAATAGAATCAGCCAGATGCAAAGACTCAGCTGCAGCGGCGGCCAGATGCCCACCGTGCGGGTGTCTGTGGTGGCCAACACGCCCTCGGGCCCTGTGGAGGCCTTCGACTTTGCCGAGTACCAGCCGGAGCTGTTTGAGAAGTTCCGGAACATGCGCAGCCAGCACCCCTACGTCCTCACTGCGGACACGCTGAAGGCCTATCAGAGCAAGTTCAGGCAGTCCTCGCCCGACAGTGTGAAGGTGAGCAGGGCCCATGTTCAGCTTCTTGTGCCATATTTGGACTTGCCTCGTCAGGAGGAACACCTTGTTGTCCCCTAAACACTCTTCACATTTGATGGGTTGCTCATGCCTGTATTCAACTCATGACATTCCGAAGTGTGATTTCTCTCTTGTTTTATAATTTTACTTAAGCTCTAAAAAAATCCTCGTAATCAGAAATTAAGTTTGAATAACTTTAATTTGTGATTAATTTATATTTATAGTCCTACCCATTAAATAGTTCTGTTCTCTATACATATTTCTCTCCCTGTGTGTACATACATATGTATTTATTATGTGCACATACACACACACACACACGATTTCTAGAAACGACATCACATAAGTAGGAGAGTGAGATAACTGTTCTTATTTTCATCGCTGCTTGTATTTTTGAATAAATCAACCACTGCAATCCCTTCACTTTCCACTTGACTAACTGCACAAGAGCAGAGAGCTACGAACATGGGGTGGTTGGCCCTCAGTTTTCTCAACTGTAAGATGAGGGGTTTGAACCGGCTAAGCTCCCTTACCAGGCTCTGTGATGCTTCTTTTTAATTTTGGCTGGAGTTTGACACCCCCACCCTTTAATTTCAGGTGGTCATTCATTTTACTGATGGGGTGGACGGAGATCTGGCTGATTTACAAAAGGCGTCGGAGGACCTTCGACAAGAAGGTAGATTCCGGGGCTTTCTAAACGGGAAGTGGAGACGTGGGGGAGGCAGACGCACTGCTCTGCTGGGGAGACAGGAATTGCTTGCCGAGTCCTTGGGGCGAGCTCCTCCTTGGCATCTTGGCTCTCAGTTGCCTGCCTGGGGCTATGGGAAGGGGCTACCAAGGATGCCATACGTACCACAGACTAAGTCCTGGCACGGGCCCCGCAGCTTTTCAGACTCATTCAGGTGGTGCAACATCTAGAAAGCACGGTGCTATTGCAAAAGAACGTGAAGATTTGCTTCATTTAGCCACATCCCATAAACTAGGGATTAATTTTGTAGCAGTTTGCAGTTATCACAGCTCAACAAGACTACAGCATGAAGTAAACACATACTTTAATAGAAAGTAAATAACAGCATACTTTCCAAATTAGGGTGACTGGTTAAGCTGCGGTGCCTATTACCGGATGTCATATTTGTCTGTCCATGACTTTGGAATTTGTTAGCTCTGACTACCAAAAAGTAGATGTCCACACCAGGGGGTTAAGAAGGACTTACGAAGCATACATTATCATAAGAACATTCTGTGTATTGCTTATTTTTTTCCCGAGCCATGGAGATAAGAATGCTCCGACCTGATTTGGGGGATGTGGTACTTTTAATTTTTTCCACATTATACCTGTGTGAAGTAGGACCAGAGTTTGAGAATTTATGCATACACTTCATGGTGTCGCTTCCTGTATTTTTATTAACCAGTTGACTTACTGACACATCTGAGACCATTGCTCTGAGGAGTTCCAAGCACTTCAGAGTGGTTGACTAGCTTGATTAAACATGTTTCAGTTACAGGGCAAATGATATACTAAAGTTTTCTTTAAAAAAAAAAAACACCCCAAAAGACATTGTGGCTCTCAGGGCCCCAGCGAGCCCTTGGAAACACGCCTATCCTCGCAGGTGTCCGAGCCCTGATCTTGGTGGGACTGGAACGCGTGGCCAACCTGGAGCAGCTGATGCAGCTGGAGTTCGGGCGAGGGTTCACGTACAACAGGCCCCTGAGGCTCAACTTGCTGGACCTGGACTACGAGCTCGCGGAGCAGCTGGTGAGGTTTACGTCTCCACACACAGATCAGTGCAGATGCCACAGCGTTTGGCTTCTCAAGACAATGAAGTCAGGGAGATGGGAGAGGGGCTTCTGGGTGGGTGATTTAACCCATTAAATACACTTGGGACCTGCCTTGTTGCCATAACAAGTATGAGTCCTCGAATTGGAGATACTTGGGAGCTGGAGCGGCCACGAGCTGGGCCCTGGGTGCCCAGGTGTGCGATGTTGCCGCCTTGGCATTTCCTCAGCTCCCTTTCCTGAATGTTTTCATGCCTAATTATTGAGAAGGCAAAGGGTTGAGATTGCCCGTTCCCAAACAGAAAGTGTCCTCAGAAAGCTTGCACGATGAAATAAGAATGTGCAGGAAAGGAGGATCACTTTTGGGCGGAGAAGTGCTTTGATTGCCGTCCCTTCCAATTTCCTGTGGAGCAAATGAAGGCGCCATTGGGGCTCCTCACCCTCAGGAGCTCAGCCTCTCTCAGCCAGAGATTTGGGAGTGTGGGTGGGGCCCCTGGGAGATGTGGGCTGAGTGGTTGACCCTGAGGTCCTTTGGTGGTGGCGGCAGTGGGGCGTGGGACGAATGGACTCTGCCCTCCCTCTGTCTTCTTCCCAGCACAGGAATTAGGATTTTTGAAAACTAGTGGAAGGACGTTGAGTTAGGGGATGAGTCTGGGATGTGGGAGACAGTGAAAACTAGGAAGCTCATTGTCAGAAGCACAGTTGACCACCATGGGTTTAGCAGATGGACATGGATTTTGGGTCTGCGCTTCACCATGTGAAGTCCGGGCTTGGGGTGGAAAGGGGCATTCAGGGTGTGTGATGGGCCATAGAGGCACTGGTGACCCAGAGTCGTGAGCTTGTGGCTAGAGGCAGGACTGCCTGTGTCTGCCCACACCAGACTGCCCCCAGGCCTCCTCCAGGCTGGCGCCATAGTCCATGACTCTGACCATGGTTCTGAGGAAGAGCATATGGATCTTCATTTTGGAACCACCTTCTGCCTGACCATCTGCAATTCCTTTGTTTTGCTCCTTGGAGCTTAAAAATACACAAGTTATACTTGCCATTTGAAACTTGACTATGTATGTTGGAATCTTCTAGAAATAAGGCCCAGCCTGAGGTGACATTGTGAATAAGGTTTATTCTACTTTGGTTGTTCTTTTGTCTCCTACTAGTAATTTCCCTCCCCCATCTTGATGGTTAAGCCACTAAGCTGGTCTGTGAGTGAATGTTGTGTGGGGGTGCCTGCATCTCACCGTGGAATCCACATTAGATCTTGACCTTTAGGGCACATATATGTTTTTTTGGAGGCTTATTAAGACTTGAACTTTTTCGTTACTTTTTGGCAGGACAACATCGCTGAGAAAGCTTGCTGTGGGGTGCCCTGCAAATGCTCTGGACAAAGGGGAGACCGAGGACCCATCGGCAGCATCGGGCCAAAGGTGTGGCAGCTTTGTCCTTTTCTTATACCTGAGGCTGGATTTCAGAAGTCCATCCTGACCTTGGCTAGAGATGGGGAAGGGGAGGGGGTAGGCCCCAGGTTATAGGACAGAAGATCCGATGAACAGACTCACTGTGGACGGTCAGCTGGGATGCTCAGCATCTGCCTCAGTTACAGGAAATGGACAGGATTTCTGGGTAGATCAGGAGCCTTAAAGATCCTGCTAGAAAGAATAATTTCATTGAAATAATGCATAGAAAACTGTTAAGTTCAGGGGAGCACCTAAAGCCATGCTGAATTTTAACACTGCTCTACTGCGGGGAGGGAAGGGGATCAGGGAGATGCTTACATATAGAACAGACCCTTTTAAAACCCACGGATTTAACCCAGGAACCGATTTACTTTGTTTTAGGGTATTTCTGGAGAAGATGGCTACCGAGGTTATCCTGGTGACGAGGGTGGACCCGTAAGTGAAGTTGTTTTATTCCTGAAATTGTTATTCACTCCTTGTCCTTTGTTGGGGTTGGATTTCAGTGTTCACAATCTGTTTGGTTATCCCACTGAGAAGACATTAACTTCTAACTTCCTCAGCATCTTTACCCAGATTTCTACATGATGGAAATAGTGTGATGCCCCAAGTGTGACAGGAGTGGCTACGGAGCGCGGGCTTCCACTCCTTCTGTTCCTCAGGGCGGGGTTAGTGCCTCGGAGGCAGAGGGCCACCGTTTCCGGCATATTCAGTGTCTGCTAAGCTCTGATACTCAAGCAGAGATGGGAATGGGTGGGAACGGGGGACAGGAGAACCCTAATCAGGCTGTAATCGGGGTGATGCCCTTTAGGGGAAGTCTCCCAGAGAAGGTTTGGATGGTCCATAGCCTCAGGGCCCAGTTGAGGATCTACAGAGCCTTTGGGAAATGGTACCGGACAGACATGGTCTGAGAGGCTTTGAGACCCTGGAAGAAGGACCAGCCCTGGAATTAAGGGGCCCCACAGGGAGCAGGTGAGGTCATGGGGTCCCAGATCCCAGTGCCAGCGTCAGGGCTGGGAACAGCCTCATTGGAGAGCCAGGAGCCAGGGCCTCACAGAGGGGCAGTCGGACCAAGCATTTCTAGGAGGGCCCAGGTCCCACCCAGAACTGGTGCCTGGTGGCCCCCTTCCTCCAGGGAGGCTGTGCACTGGGCCTGGGGAGCAAGGATGCTGGGGTCCCACGGCTCAGGCAGCATTCCTGGCAGCAAATCTGCTTCAAAGGCAGAGCTTTCACTGAGCTGTGGACCCAGTGGAGACATGATGACCAGAAACCTTTGTCTCCCCTGACAGGGCGAACGTGGTCCTCCTGGTGTGAACGGCACTCAAGGTTTCCAGGGCTGCCCCGGCCAGAGAGGAATAAAGGTACAGTGTGTGTGTGTGTGTGTGTGTGTGTGTGTGTGTGTGTGTTTGTGTGTGTGTGTGTAGGGGGCGGGGGGTGTGTGTAGGGACCACAGCATCAGCCCATCTGGGGAGGGGAGGGTCAGCAGCATGTGCAGAAGTGGACAGTTTCTCCAAGTGCCTGCGGGAGGATGGTGCTTGGGTCTCTCTGCTCTCAGCATCCAGCCGCTGGGGCCTCTCCTGGGAAGGCAGCCCGTAGTCTGGTGGGTTCAGAGCGCAGGCTGCACTGGGAAGGGAGCCTGGGAATGCAGAAATAGTTTCCTATGGAAACAGGCAGCCGCCAGGAAACCATCACGAGGACAGACAGGACGAGAGCCAGGGCGGGGAGAAGGCCAGTGCCCGTGGCTTCAGCCCCGGGAGGAGCCAAGGAGATAGGGCAGCAAAAGAAAGGGAGAGACCACTGCACTTGCCGGTTCTTTGCATGAAATACTTGGATTCAAGGGCTGATGAACTTTCTCCTCCATTTGCTGAAGTTTGAGAGCAGGTGGTGAAGGGAAGGTTACCAGACTGCAAAGTCACAGAGGTGCCTTGGGGCCTGGTCCCTGGCTCTCAGGGACCACCCTCCTGGCCAAGGAGCCAAACCACCCAGTGCCCAGGTCCAGGAAAATTAGCTTTATGACCTCCATGTGATGGTGAGAAGACAACCCAAACAAATAAATCTCCAATATTGAATTTTCAGCCAAGATGGCCTTCACTGGGGTTGGGGCAGCACTATCCTGTGGCTCAGGGACCAGCCTCCAAAAGGAGCTAATGTGTCCTCTTTCCCTTTCTTTCCAGGGCTCTCGAGGATTCCCAGGAGAGAAGGTACTCGGCTTGTTTTCCTTTTTCTATTGAAAACTTTCCCAGCATTTCTCATTTCTTCTTTGTCTGAAGGCCATCTACACTCACCTGTGTGTCTTGTCCCCTCGCAGGGTGAATTGGGGGAAATCGGACTGGATGGTCTTGACGGGGAAGATGTAAGTGACTTTGTGCTCTAAGTCCTAGCAGCTTTGGTCCTGAAGATTCTAGGGACTGTACTCAGCCTCTGGGAGCCGCTGTGCCAGGAATGACGTGTTGTCGTTGTCTTTGGCAGGGAGACAAAGGCGTGCCTGGTTCTTCCGGAGAGAAAGGGAATCCCGGGAGAAGGGTAGGTGCATTTCCACTGCTGCTGGGACGGAGGAACTATCAACATGTCACTGAGGGACTAGGTCTCTCACTGATGTATGTTAAGACCGCTTCCTCCGAGACCTCCCCTGACCTCCTCTGGGGCTGCATCCTTGGCATCCCTATGTCCCTGGCAGCTGTGACAGATTACATTATATTGTCTTGTTTGGAGACTGTCTCACAGGGCAGGGACTGAGTTTGTTTTGTTGTAAATAAATCCCAGTGTCTGCACAGAGGGGGTCCCTAATAAATATTTGTGGATTACCTGCACAAATAGTAAATATTTGGAAGTCATTTTACCTTCATGGCCAATGAGAAATGCTTGACATTGGCCTATTTAAGACTTGTGAGTTGAAGAATGGGATTTTAAGGATGAGACAAAAATGTGTAATTCTATTTAATGGTTAGGCACCACATGTGTTTTTTGTTAGGGTGACAAAGGACCTAAAGGGGACAGAGGAGAACGAGGAGACGCTGGAATTCGAGGGGACCCGGTAAGAATTCCTCATGGACAATTTGAGACCTGAGTCTGGGGAAGAGGGCTGTGGTAACAGAGGGCTGAAAGGGGGAATTTTACTTTTGATGCTGCTTTCAAACTTGTTGATAAAAGATGTGGTTTGTCCTTTCCCCTCCCTTTGGGGCTGCTGGGGACGTGTTTGCTGTGTGGCTGTGGAGATAAGTGTTTGTAAGGCCTGTCCTGGGAAGACATGAGGATTTCCCTAAAATGTGGTCTCAGGACTCTTTAATCCAGCTGGACCGGGTGGTCAGGAAAAATATGAGTGAGGACATGAATACAAGGCTCTGTACCAGTCCCAGTGGACAGATCCCATTCAGACAGCATCCATCCCACCCTCCCTGGCCCTGACTGTGGGTCGCCCAATCATTCTTAGCCCCAGGGAGGACGGTGCCCCGGGCCTCTTGCCTTGTCCTGTCTAGGAGGACAGAAGCCTGGCTCAGGGATGGTCATTTGCTTGCACTTACAGAATCAAAGACCAGAAAAGCTACAAACACCTTTCTTTTCCTAAAGCAAACTTAGGGTGTCTTTTCCTGCCCACGAGGCTCATTCCCTGACCTGTGTTGTTTTCAGGGTGACTCAGGACGGGACAGCCAGCAGAGAGGACCCAAAGGAGAAACCGGAGACATTGGGCCCATGGTACGATGCTCCACGTTCCTCGACTCCCTGTGCTGAGGGCCAAGACACAAAACCCACACGGGCCCGTCCCCAGCCTAGCGGCCATGGAAGTGGCTTTTCAGGCTGTAGACCTAAGAGGTCGGGAACAGAGGGTCCCCGAAGCCCATGTGTGTCCCCGTGAAGGAAGTCTCCGCCGGGGAATGGAGCAACCCTTCCAAGAGGCCCTCCAACCCCCCAGATGTTCACAGAAAGTGCTTGCCAAGCCAGAGGCTTGTGTTGTGGGAATGCCCCTGAGCATGATGCACCCACAAAGTTACTTGGGTGACCCCCTCTGTGTATCAGTCCCATCTCCCGTGGTGTCTTGGGCAATATTGCCACATTAGATGCTCTTCTCTGCAGAGGAGAATCTCACGCCGTTTTCTCTCCCACACCAGGGCCTCCCTGGGAGAGACGGCGTGCCCGGAAGGCCTGGCGATCCCGGCAAGGACGTGAGTGTCTCTGAGGGCTGTGGGCTCCCTGATATTAGGGTGCCACCTAGATCCTAAACCCCCAAACCCTGCCTGGGGCAAAGCTATTCAGCTACTTCTTATTAAGAAATTTCTGAAACTATTGTCACCCAAATCGTGCTGCTTAGAGAAATCTCTCATTTTTATCTTTTGGTCTATACTCCGTCTCTTCTCCCTCCCCCAGACCTGCTTCCTTCCCATCCCAGAAAACACACTGAACAGACGCTTTAAAAATATTATCTTTACTGCTGTAGGAAATTTGGCCAGGTTTTATCCCACTAAATATTTAAAAGATCCAAATGAAGCATGAATCTGGGAGGAGTGAGGGAATGAGGGCAGGAAGGCTGACGGGGTCGTATGCTTGTTGGTTTTATAACTGTTTGTGTGTGATGGTGTGTGTGTTCTGCTGGAACCCAAGCAATGAAACTAGACTCTGTTTTCTAGAGAATTGCATCTCACAGTGGCTTTTAAAAATACATATATTTTATTGATTTCAGAGAGGAAGGGAGAGGGAGAAATAGAAACGTCAATAATGAGAGAGAATCATTGGTCAGCTGCTTCCTGCACGCACCACATTGGGGAGGGAGCCTGAAACCTGGGCATGTGCCTGATTGGGAATTGAACTGTGTGACCTCCTGGTTCGTAGGTCGATGCTCAACCACTGGCAGACGCTTTAAAAATATTATCTTTACTGCTGTAGGAAATTTGGCCAGGTTTTATCCCACTAAATATTTAAAAGATCCAAATGAAGCAGGAATCTGGGAGGAGTGAGGGAATGAGGGCAGGAAGGCTGACGGGGTCGTATGCTTGTTGGTTTTATAACTGTTTGTGTGTGATGGTGTGTGTGCTCTGCTGGAACCCAAGCAATGAAACTAGACTCTGTTTTCTAGAGAATTGCATCTCACAGTGGCTTTTAAAAATACATATATTTTATTGATTTCAGAGAGGAAGGGAGAGGGAGAAATAGAAACGTCAATAATGAGAGAGAATCATTGATCAGCTGCTTCCTGCACGCACCACATTGGGGAGGGAGCCTGAAACCTGGGCATGTGCCTGATTGGGAATTGAACTGTGTGACCTCCTGGTTCGTAGGTCGATACTCAACCACTGAACCACACTGGCCAGGCTCTCAGTGGCTTCTTAAGACACATCAGAAATGTGAGCTGCAGTAGCTCACTGCATGCCTAATCTTTGTGTCTTGTTGATGAGTTCATACCTAAAGCCAAAGGGACACAAAGTAGTTGGAAACTTGTAGGGCCCAGGGGTACTCAGAGCTTGAGGTGGGAGAAGATGGTCCCTATATGCGGAAGAGTGTTTGGAATTTGTAATCCTCAGGGGCCAGTTCAGGATGCAATGTCTCTGCTCAGAGATTGGCTGGGGCTGTGCAGCCGGTTCCCAGTGGTAGCGATGTTTTAAGGGCTGAGCTGTGGGACGGTTGGAGAGAGCATGTGACGTGAGGGCTTTCAGAAGAAATGACTCTCATCCATAGTCAGATGACATACTATGGGCATAATTTTGCTTTTAAAATTCAGAAGAAGACTTAATATTTGAAAATGCTCTCTTAATAGTTCTGAGTATTATTTTTGAATAATGCTGCTGAGCTATATAATGAAAAAGCAACGAGGAGCTACCCAATTGTTATAATGTACAATGCACCTGTTGGTGAGCAGGGCCAAATCTGGTTTTCGTGACAGTCATGCATGCAATTCGTTTTCATTCTGTGCACAGGTGGACACTTGGGTTTGGATTCGATACAGTTAAGGGCTCTTGTGGACTCAGTTGCCTCCTTGGCAGCAGGATGAGGCCTGGAGGTGTGGCCTCCTCCTTCCCTGGAACTTCACTGTGTCGGGCCCAGGTCCAGACACAGCGCATCCTTCTGTGGGGCTACCTTGCTCCTCACACCGCCCCTCAGGGCTTCTACAGGCTGCCTCTGGCCTGAGCAATGAGTCATTGAGCACTGGTGGCCTCTGGACCCTTTGGGAGGGGCCAGGCAGATTGCTACCCTGGAGGATTGGCCTGGCCCCACCCCTCCCCGACTTGTCCATATGTTGTCCATGGAAGGAGGCCCAAGTCTTCCATTAAAGAAGCTGCCACAACAGTGAATAATAGCAAAAACGGTTGTCCCAGAAGATCCCAGGCTGGTCTGTTGGGAGTGGAGACTGGTCTTTGGGTGATGCAGCAATCGGTCAAGCCCAGTAACCGCTGATTATTACAGTCTCCAAAACACAACTCCGCACCTTGCAAAGATTTATCCAGGACGTTCTCATGTTCCCATCCCAAACCTCCCCACCACAGAGGAAGTAATCACAATGGGGGAATTAGCAGATTACTTACTCAGCGAGCCCACATTTATTTGGACTGAGGGTCACCCCTGGAGCATAGAGGCAGATGTTGCCAAGACATGAGCCCAAGCTAAGCACCCCTGGGCTCGCAGGTTCATGCATGTGCCCTTGGCTGCTCACCTACCAGAGGATCTGTTATACTTGGCCAGCAGGGCGTGGAGAGTCTGGGACTCCCTTCCATGATAATTAACGTATTATGATGAGTTCTCCCGACAGTCAGAAAAAATGGTAGAAAAATAGACAGCTTGACATTCCCCTTTCACATTCCTTATTTGAAATTGGCTGAGACTCTGCAGCCAGGAGTCATTATTTTGCTTGGCAGGTCTGAAGTAATTCTCAAAACTTCCACTTGGGTGACTAACAGGGCAGCGTGGAGGCAAAGCTTGACTGAGATGAGGCAGGAAGGAATTTCCTTGGGGCTGACAGGGCCTGGCACACAGTGGGTGGCAGATGAATGTGTGGGTTAAGTCGGGCAAAGACTGGGCTTGGTCCCGTCTCCCCTAACGGTGTGTGTGACTTCTCCTGCAGGGCGGCTATGGCCGAAGGGGACCGGCAGGAGCTAAGGTAAGCCTCGGAGCTGGCGCCTCTTCTCCGTCAGCACAATGTAACTCACCATGTGCTGTAATGGACTGTCCTCCTGTCCACCTCCCACCCACGAGCTAAAACTTCCTCTCTCCTTCGCCATCAAGGCTTGTAGCTCAATCAGCAGCTACACCTTTTCCTAGCTCCTTAAATTTGGCCTCTTCTAATGAACTTGTGACAATGATTGACAGTGGGGGCAGGGTGGGGGCGGGGATGAAGGGAAAAAGACAGATGGAGGAGGCAGTTCCTGGGCATCTCATTCACAACATGCTCACTTATCTAGTCATTAGCAAGTCACAACGTCTCTGTGTCTTAGTCTTCTCACCTGTGCTATATGCAAAGCATCCTTATTTCCCAAAGCCATCCTGCAGAGAAGGTGAGGCAAGAGTAAGAATAGTTGTGACAGAACAGAGTGACAGCTGCCTCCATGTGGTGATTATGTCAGTGGCTTTGAAGTCGCTCGTAGAGTTGGGATTATGGCCCTGTTCCCTCACGCAGATGGGACTTTGGAACAGAGAGCTGACATTGGTATAAACTATCCTGACCCCACCCTGCATCTTCTCTTTCTTCTTTCAAGGGCAACAGGGGTGGTCCAGGCCAGCCGGGCTCTGCAGGAGAGCAGGGGACCAGAGGTGCACAGGTTGGTACCCAGGGAGATTGCACGCCCTTTGCTATTTCCCCAGATGCTCTTGTATTTTTTTAAAAATCAAGGTGACAATTTTACAAAATTGAACACAAAATTCATCATTTACAGTGAACAATTCAGGGGGGTTTAGTACAGTCACAATGTTGTACAAGCATCACCTCCGGTCTAGTTTCAAAGCATTTTCATCACCCCCAAAGGAGACCCTCATAGTACCTGTTACGTGGTCACCCCTTGTCTCCCCTCATCTCCCCATCCCCAGCTCCTGGTGGCACAAGTTTCTTTTCTGTCTCTATGGATTTGCCTATTCTTGACATGTCATGTACATGGAATCAGTTAATAGGTGGCCTTTTGTGTCCAGCTTCTCTCACTGAATATAATGTTTTTTAGGTTCTCCATGTTATAGAATGTGACAGGGCTTCACTCCTTTTCATGGCCAAGTAATATTCCACTGCATGGATAGACCACAGCTTACTTCTCTGCTCATTGGTTGATGGACATGGGTAGTTTCCACCTTTTGGAGACTGTGAATATTGCTGCCGTGAACAACGTGTACACATTTGTGTTTTTTAAAACTAGCTTCCCCATTCCTGTTCTGGGCTGGGGCTGCTGCTCCTACAGTGGAGATAAAGTGTGATCTCTGGGGGCCTCGTTGGCAGTGGGAGTGAGGCTCTGGGCTCTGTGGAAAGTGCAGAGGTCATCTGAGCTTTCTCCTGGAGTGTCTCCTCAACACAGCACTGACCTTGGCCTTTCCCTCTTTCAGGGTCCAGCTGGTCCCACCGGCCCTCCAGGCCTGATGGGAGAACAAGGCATTCCTGGCCCTCGGGTAAGTGCATCTCAACCCACCCCTCTGTGTGGCTAAGTGGATCGCACAGCGCCCGCTCAGGCTGGGGTTGCGTGGGGGGTATTGCTGAGGACAGACCTTCCTTTTTGTCTGACTCTTTGGTGACACTGACCCTGGGTTGACCTCAGTCCTCACAGCCAGTGTATGTGAGGAAGGAAGAACCCTGTTTCCTTGGTGCCCCAGGGGCATCTAGGCCCCAATGCTGCTCCTTCCCAACATGGGCCAGCTGGGGTCAGCGAGGCAGGATGTGCCTGTCCCCGAGGTCTCAGCGTGAAACTGCATAAATGTAACCCAATCCACCGAAATGCTCAGATTATGACAAATGGTTTCATAATCGCCCCTGGAGATTGGCTCTGAGGTTCGCTCTTTTGTGGATGGGATTCTCCATCCTCCAGTTCAGCACAGAAGATGTTCCTTAAATCTGCTGTGACTGCAGAATTCAACATCTCAGCTGTTAGTGATGATGGGCGGACATGTAGCTACAGCTTAGCTGGGACCAGGTGTCCTACACACCTGCTGTCCCTGGTGTGCGACAGGATACTGTGGGAGCCACCCTACCATTTGTTACAGAAAAGAGCAGTGACTGAAACCTGGCAACGAACCGGCCTGTTGCTCCCTAAGGGCACAGATGTGCTTTGCCGTGGATGCAGGAACTCGGCGAGAGCCGTTGTGTACTTAGTCCTCCCAACTTCGCAACCTGATATTCACCTATTTTTAAAGCTGTTAGTTTTTTGCCAATATTTATTTTAGCTCTTATTAATCAAGAATCTGAGACGGAATATGGATGAGGCAGAGCTCTTGCAATAATTACTGATAACCGAGAGCTGGTTTCTGCCATATTCGTGGGGTCATTCCTGTGCTCACTGGGCTGTGCCACATGCAGGGCACTGATTCATTCCTTCACTCAATGGATAAGTGCGCACAGGTCTCCACACCTGTATAACCACAGGCAGAAGGACAAAAGCCACATCAAATCTGGGTGCTTGTCCGCCAGTCAGGGACATGGGATATGAATGTACGTGGAAAACTGCACCGTTGTGCAAACTGGCCTAGGGTCACACTAACACTGTGAGTTGCACAAGCCATGTGTGTTTGCAGTTGTGTCTCCAGCACCGTGGGTGGCGCTAAGTACTGGGGCTCTGACCCCCCGGGGACTGGGGGAGAGGCGGGATTCAGACCCTTAGGCTTGGAAGGCGAATTTTCACCGACACTCCTCTTCTCCCACTGCAGGGGAGCGGAGGGACCGCAGGCCCTCCGGGAGAACGTGGCAGAACCGGGCCCCTGGGAAGAAAGGTTTGTCTGGACAAAGGTGGAGCTGGTTTCTGGAGGTCAGGCCCGGCCAGCCCCCCAGGCAGCCTCTCCCTCATTTGCCAGCCTGTCTACCTGCTTCATTTGCACATCCCTTCGTCTCCCCTCTGGTCTTTCCCACCCAGCCTCCCTGTTGAGAGCCGCTTGACCATAAGGGAACACATGGCTCATGCTCAGTGTGTTGGCTTTCTAGTAGCTGGGACTTGCCAACAGCTGTAGTTGTCTGATCTGCTCCTGCCATGAACCGTGGCCACAGTTCAGCATCTCGGGGCAATCAAAACGGGTGTGTGTGTGGGTGTGTGTGTGTGTGTGGGGCGGGGGGGCGGCACATAGCACAGCACCAGACTTGCTGAACACGCTTTGTTTGAATATTAGTGGTCCACACAGCTGCTCTGCTGGCCACGTTGAGCTGATCTAAGAGCCCTGACTATCTGAGAACCTGCTTTCTACAAACCTTGAGAAAAACCACAATTTAACATAACCAGTCTGAAAGGGCAGCATTTTCTCAGAGAAAGAAATGTGTTCCTGCGAGTCCAGAATTTTTATTTTCTGCCTCTTGTTGGTGTTGGGTTTCCCTGGGTCTTCTTCTTCTTCTTCTTCTTCTCTCTCTCTCTCTCTCTCTCTCTCTCTCTCTCTCTCTCTCTCTCTCTCTCTCTCTCTCTCTCTCTCTCTCTCTCTCTCTCTCTCTCTCTCTCTCTCTCTCTCTCTCTCTCTCTCTCTCTCTCTCTCTCTCTCTCTCTCTCTCTCTCTCTCTCTCTCTCTCTCTCTCTCTCTCTCTCTCTCTCTCTCTCTCTCTCTCTCTCTCTCTCTCTCTCTCTCTCTCTCTCTCTCTCTCTCTCTCTCTCTCTCTCTCTCTCTCTCTCTCTCTCTCTCTCTCTCTCTCTCTCTCTCTCTCTCTCTCTCTCTCTCTCTCTCTCTCTCTTTCTCCCCCTGTCAGCATGTCCCCATGCCATGTTTATGAAAAGGCCACACACCTGCCTCCCCGATTCTTCTCCAGGAGTCGACACATGAACGTTGCCACTGAAGAGATCATTTTTATCAAAATTCAAAAGTTGAAGTTGGCAGTGGCATCACCTAGAACGATAGGGCTGGACTCTCATTTCAAATGGGCCTGGGCCCTCAGGTGTCTCAGCTTTCTCTCTTGTGTACAGGGCGAGCCCGGAGATCCAGGACCAAAGGGAGGAATCGGGAATCGGGGGCCCCGTGGGGAGACGGTAAGATCAACATACGCTGTTGTTGCTAACTCTTTGCTGAAACACCCAGGAAGTGGGAGGTGGGGCTTGTGCCAGGCTAGCCTTTGCCAATGCAAATTAGTTTCTTTCCAAACAGAGGTAACTCAGTAGTTGCTTCTCCTGTCATTGGGGATGTGATTGAAAATAGTGAAACCTGCTGCTTATAACCAGCAAATAAATGTCAAATAAGGTTTGACCTCCTTCATCTTTGGGCTTATGAATGTTTTGTGAGCACTTCCACATGGAGCTTTTCTGCAAAGAAATACATGTCCTTGGGTTCAAATGGAATTGGGTTTGATAAGGTCTTAAGCCAGCTTGAAACAGTTCCCTTTGAATGAGACATCCCAGGAATAGAAATCGCTACCTTGATAACGCATTTAAAAATTGTTATTTAAAATGATCTTGCAGGATATATTCCCATGCAAGAAAAAGAAATCTGCAGAGTGTTGGTAATTTTTCTAAAATAAGCCAGTATACATAAAAACTAGAGGAACTGACCAGGTTAATCTGTCTTATGATCCTAAAGCTTTAGAATATTTTCCTTGTGAATGTAACTTCTCTACAGTGAACTGAAGTTTAAAAAAAATCCATTTCTGTTACTCTTAGTTTCAGAAGCAGAGGGAAGAAAGTCAAACTTAAAATCCATTCAAACTATCAAAGGAAATCTCTTTCTGATTCTGTTTCTATAAATTTGAGGGCAATGGCTCTTTCACTGTTGATGTCCATTTGAAACTATAAATTAAGTAGCATGTTCCACGCATGTTTTAGAGATATTGATGCATGTTTCACATAACTTCTGATTGAAGTAATTGTGTGCAGTTCTAAAAGCTGCTATGAGAAGGTGACATGGACAGATGTGAGAGTCCGGGAGGAGGTGTTCGGAAAGAAGATAGTCTAGTGGGATGATCTATGCAGGGGAGGGACACAGGGCGGGGGGAAAAGGTCTGAGCACAGACCACTCAGGAGGGTATGGGAGAGTGAGTCCCGTGTTTTTGCTTTGAAGTCGAATTAAAGACTCATAGATGCACAGAGTCAAGGTGACCTTCAAGAGTCCTTTTAACTCTAAGATTCCCAGGTTCAATGAGTCTTTGATTCCACCTGCAAGCAGTATCTTTACCAACAGCCATAGTGGATCTGTAAATAGGTGGGCCCACCAGTACCATTTGCCACAGGAGTGCTTTAAGCCCACCCTCTTACAGACATGGTCTTGTTCACACCTGGAAGATGGTGTAGGAACAGGAACAATGCCTTAAGCTATACCTCGATCTGGGAACATTTCAGGGACTCAAGGACTTTAGACAGAGGTGGGTATGGCATGCCCAACATGGTGACCTGCAGTAATGCTGTCTTTCCACAATTAGGGAGATGATGGTCGAGATGGGATTGGCAGTGAAGGACGCAAAGGCAAAAAGGTATATACGTCTGACATATTGTATTTGTACAGAACCCTTTCTCAAAATTTTATTGTGATATAGTGAATTTTTTCTCTTGATGGACTCTATAAATATATGTATTTTTTTCTGCTCAAGAATAATTTATTTTAAATAAATTTAAATTGAGACCAAATATTGAGTTGTTTATTTATCTTTTATAGGGAGAAAGAGGATTTCCTGGATACCCAGGTCCAAAGGTAAATATTCCCCTGGTGGTAACATATCGCCATTGTTTTAGTATGAATCTAGTGTGTCCATGGGCTGCAAAGCAGAACATCTTGGTTCTAGTCTTGGGTCAGCCACTTATGGACTGAGTGACCTTGGGAAGGCCCACTCTCTAAGTCCCTCATCTGTCCAATGGAGATGACAGTATGCACTTGTCATGGTACTTCTGAGGATTAAATGAAAATGCAATAAAATACTTTGTAGACCTTAAAATGATGTATCTTCATGATGTTATTACTACTGATTCAACAAGCTAAGGCTAAACCTGCAAGACATACATGTACTAGTAACCCAGTGGGAAAGTAACCGAAGTCAGCCATTTGGCTGCTCCGGGAAGTGTCGTCCAGATGCCCCAGGAACCCTCGGCTACACCTTCCATTCTAGAGCTAATGTACCGCCTCCTGGCTCTCTTCTCAGGGTACCCCCGGTGACCCAGGAACAGGGGGATCACCAGGACCCAAAGGCATCAGAGGTCGAAGGGTAAGTTTGCCTGGACCGTGGATGCCACAGGAATGAGAACGTGTGGGAGGCTGGCCCAACCCTGACGCCTCCACCACTTCTGTGAAAGTTCTCCTTTGTCACCTGCAACCTGGCCAGTGATAGCATGGGGTGGGAGCAAAGGAATTCTAAGCCGAAGGCCCATGTTTTCAGGACCACCTGTGGCTATGGCTGTGTTTTCCCCTTCTGGGGAGACCCCGAGAGCCCCTTCCTGTAACACATTTCAAGGGTCACAAGTCCATGGTCCTCTCCCTGCATGGCACCAGGGGGACTCAGGTGTCAAAACGAGTAATGTCAGAGTCCGTGTGACCATATTTGGTCTTGCCCACTAGATGGTGAAGCAACAGGGTGTCATGGGGTGCGTGCTGTGTTTATGCGGGTCCCGGGCTCAGAGGCAAGCCAGGCTAGGACCCTGTGCTCCCGCCTCCCATCATGATAGGACTCCTCTTCCTTAAGCTGCATTTGGTTCTGCATCCCTCTCCAGGGGACATTTACTCACCCCCTTAAAATTACACTGAGTCTTAAATGAACAAATTGTGGTCTAGATACAGGTAAAAGTTTCTAACAGTTATTTTTAGCCTAAAATATAATTAAACTCACCGTAATTGTCCTGTTCATTTGCTCAGTGAAGACAGTCAAATTAGATCAGTTACTGCTTAAATGAAGGTGGGGTTTGTAAACATTAAATTGGTTGCGTACACCAACAGTGACCTAATTAATTATCAGTTACTGATTTCTTGTGCATTCCTGGGCAGTCTCATTCATGGTTCTTAGGGAAGCATCTGCCTTCCCTAACCTCCCAGAGTGCACAGTTGTTGGAGATGCACATCAGTTTTGTGAGAGTCTCTTGTCCTTACATTTGAATCTTGGAGACACGGGAATCCTGAAAATGAGAGCTTCCCTGTGGTGATGGGGGGAGTCGGGTTAGATCATCTTCACCCGCCTTTCCAATGGTGGGAGCTGCGAATGTTCCTTCCTTTGCCACAGCTGAACGGTGCTTTTCTGCCCCCTGCAGGGAAATTCAGGGCCTCCAGGGACAGTGGGACAGAAGGGAGACCCTGGCTACCCGGGACCATCTGTAAGTACCTGCCGGTTCCCATTAAGCTGCCCGTGGGGTGGATGCCTTGTGTGTGGTCCCTGAAAACTTTCCACGATCTCCTTCTCACAAAGACGATGTGCTGCATCTTTGTTGTTATTGTTGTTTCCTTTTAACCACTTCCCTTCTGACACCACAATGAGGAAAAGAGCTCTTGAGCACATGGCACTCTGCAGTCCAGGGCATACTGCGGTTTGCCTCTACGATTCCCTGGTGTAGTTTCCTTGTCTGAGGCTTGTGTAGGGAACAAAAGAAAGAACACACCATTTTAGCTCTTGATTGCACCTTGTGGGAGGACATAATTATGTCAGACCTTG